AGGCAGATGGGACCTCGGTTTCGCGTCTTTTCTGAAACACAGCACCTTGGACAATACAGTGCTTCTCCAGCACATGCTGGAGTGTTGGCACGGATTATTATTATATTGTTATTTTGTCTCCTTTCCCAAGACTGCATTCCCCTGCTAACAAGCTAAAGCAGCCCACTGTCTATTCAGTAGCATTATTTGAAAGTCATTTCACAAGTGCCTTTACAATACAATACAAAATTTAATTTTACACTAAAACTGTACAATTTTCCTGAAAGCTATGCTTAAAAACAGCCAGGCAGAGGGAAAAACAACAGTTTTCTGCTCGTGGAAGCTGTGCTCAATATTACAAGAGAATTAGGATGTGTTGAAAGCTTCTCAAAATAAAGGGAGCAATGTCTGATTTCTCAAAATCTAGTCATCACGCGGTTAATGGAAGCTGCAGACTTTGCTCTAGATACGTCACTTAAAGCTATCATTTGCTTTTTCATCGCCAGCCGATGAGTCAAGGAGAAGACCGAACCTTTCATGGCAGGGCTAGAAAACAGCTGGAACATTCCTTCAAAGACAACCAAAGTTTTATGATTCACTGGTAGGAAAACACTCCAAACAGGCCAGTCACAGCCTAGTTGCACAAGCACACATATGGAATTAACTGCTGCTTGTTAAAAGGCTGTGAAAGGGAATCCAGTTACTGAATCGCTACCACAGTGTGGTTGGATGAGGATGCTTGTTCAGTATTTGGGAAGGGAATAACATAATACCTCTTGTAGGAAATATATTTGCTGGAACTTTTTCGAAATCCTTCCACTTCACTCCTTCCCTCCCAGCTTTCAAAACCTGTTTAAAACAGCTACCTCTTTAACTCACCTCACCTCAACTCTCAAATTTCGATTCCCTCCCCTTAAGTTCCACCAGCTCATACCCCTATGCTGTCTCTGTAAAGCGCTTTGAAACGTTCTCCTATGTGAAAGGTGCTGTATATGTGCAATTTATTGTTGAGGTGAATTGAACAAGATGTGCAATTTTAATTACGTTGCCCTCTCCCACACCAGGCTCCGTGACCCTATCACCTCATCCTCGCCCGACTCCACTGGCTTCCCATCATACAGAGGACACAGTTCAAGATCCTGGTCCTCACCTTCAATGCCCTCATGGTCTTGCTCCCCCTACTTCTGCGACCTCCTACCCCCTACTATCCTGCTCGCTCCCTCCGCTCAGTGGGCTCCGGCATGCTTCACGTCCCCCGCCTCGCTCGCCCCACTATTGGCAGGCGGGCCTTTTGCCACTCTGTCCCCACCCTCTGGAACTCCATCGCGCAGTCCCTCCACCTTGTCCCTCCCTTGCCTCCTTCAAGACCCATCTCAAGAGCCTCCTCTTCGACCGTGCTTTTGATCACCCTGCTTCCCCCCCTGCCCTCCACCATCCTCAATCCCGACCCCAGCTCGGGTATGAAACTCTGACTGTCCAGTGCCTTGGTACGTCCTCCCGACTTGAAAGGCTCTGTAGAAATGTAATTTTGTCATTGTTGTTGTTGTACTTTTTTTTATGTGTGGGTGTGTGGGGTGGGGTTAAGTATTAAGACCCTTGGCATCCAGAAAGGCAACACCCAAGTATCGTTCAAGCCGCACAAGCAACTACCCATCTGTACTTTGTGACTAATCGCTTTAAAAAATATAACACTGTCCAGAAACATTCGATCACAAATTACTAGGGAGTAAAAAAACATCTTGACTGAGCCACACACAGTACATCTGCTCTTTCTTCTCAGTTAAGCCAAATAATATGTGCTTTCCATTTTCCTTTGTTGAACATAAGGCTTCTAAATTAAGTATAGGTTCTCCAATGGAAATTTACATTTGGCTGTGGTTAAGGGTTCAAGCCCCATGTCAGGACTTTGAGCCCACAGCGCAGGCTGACTCTTCATTGCAGTACTGGAGAGCTCAGCATTATCGTTTGGATGATTCATTAAATTGAGATCGCGCCTATTTATTCAGATGGACATTAAAGGCACTGTTCGAAAGGAGAAGGAAATTTCTTCTAGTTTACTGGCCAAAACCACAGTTAAACACAATTGGTTGTTCACTTTATGGCTGTTTGTGGGACATTTCTGCTCGCAAATTGGCTGTCGCATTTGCCTACAATTACACTACACTTTACGGTGTATCCCGTCAAACCTTTTGAGACGTTTTGATAATGTGATAAGATGCTATACCAATTATTTGAACAAGATGTCCATTCTTTGCTGTGCAACTTTCTTAGCCGCCTGTTTGCGGAGTGAATCAGTTATCTTTTATTTCACAATGTTTGCATGGCCGTGCACCAATCAACACTTTTACAAGTCAGTTGTCCTCAATGGTACTGAAAACCAACCAGTGTCTCTATCGATTAAATCTTACTCCCTTCCCTTCTCCCCCCAACCCCCCACTCCCTCCACCATCACCACTACCAAATAAAGCTTGAATTTCCAGTTAATCTTAGCCTGTAAAAACCATTTGTGTCTTGCGATTCCACAGAATTGGAGAGAATTCTTAAGTTTCATGTTTATCTGGAAGCCAGTTTTTCACAGTTCTTAAGTCGAAACTATCATTCAAAATCGAATTTTTGAATTTTTACAGTTCTGCACGATCTAAACTTTCAAAGCTAAAATGATCTCATAGTCCAAATCTCTTTGGGCTTGGAAAACCACAAATGCACACATGCTGCGGTCATTATAAAACAGTCACTGCACTTTACAATAAGTGTAGTAACTTTACTGTGAAGCGCTTTGTGTCGTCCTCGTAACGTGAAAGGTTCTATACCAAATATAAGAATTATTTTTAATGATCATTATTATTGTTATTGAAATCTTGTCTCTTCATCCAAAGCTATATGTGAAGAGCTGACATCTGAGTTCACTATTGTAGACTTCCATTTCTGTCAGCACATATAATAATAATATCCTTTAACCCTACTTTAAAACAGAAACTTGTTTTTGTTAAGTAAAAGCACTAACTTTTATTAGTGCTTTTATTTTGCCGGTAATGGCAATTTGTGTGTTTTGGAAAAAGTCCATTTTCTTTTTTTAATAATATACACTGTATGTGGAAAAAAGTTCTTGTTTACTTTGAGTTTCCTTCGCACGAGATGAACGCAGCTTTGAATCAGAATGTAGGCAATTAAAGTAATTCCTTCCTTTCATTAGGTCTTTTTTTTAATAGGCATTTTGACCCCAGAGGGTATTTGGACAGGGTTAGCCTGTGCCTGGTAAAGGTTATGTGATACAACTAATGGCACCAGTGGTGAGATAATTCATGTGCATTTGCAAACTGTCCAAACATGTAAATCACACAATAACAGGCGAAAAGTCTGCTTCGAAACAGCAGCTCTCCCTTTTTTTTGAGGGGGAGAAAGTTTTTCTCGTGTATATATATATATATTAAAGGAAACAAGTTTAATGATTAATGATTCTCACTGTCTGGGTGCAAGGAGGGAAGTACAGTAGCTCAGTGGTTAGAGCACTCGCCCTGAGTTCAATTCCAGGCAGAGGGCGAGACCTTGGGCAAGTTTCCTTACTCCACACAGAGCCTAATAATAATCCCTCCAAAACCAAAACCAATAATAAATTGGTCATTTTCAATCTACGACTGTTTGTGGGACATTGCTGTGCGCAATTGGCTGCCGCGTTCGCCCTCAAATATACAGTCAATTCACTTTACAGTGTGTTCTGTGAAGCGCTTTGGGACGTCCTCCCGACGTGAAAAGCGCTATATCAAATGCAAGGATTATTATTATTATTATTGCAGTACAGCACCAGCGTCTGCTGGAGGTTTTGCTGTCAGGGGGTGGTGGTGGGGGTGGGGGGTGCAGTGAAAGTTGGGAGCTCAGTTTGTAACACGCCAACCTTGCAAATTACAGGGGTTTACTGTGCATTTTCACAACACGATTTCCCACCCTCAAATCAAAAGGAATCGATGGAAGACTGACTGCATGAACCCACTGACCGAGAAGCCAGAAGAAGAAGAAAAAAAAATGCTTTGCTCCAGAACTGCTTTCTTGTTCTTGTTGCTGACAAAAGAGTATTCTCCTTGAATGGGAGAAAAATACACACGTGTGAAAAAAAATAAAAAGACTCTCCCTATGGTTTTGTGACTGTGCAGAGGTGTTAACATTATCATTACAGGTTGACTCACTGTGTGTGTCGAATGCATTTAAAAGGCTTAATAAAGCACTCCAGGGCTCCTGGCATTGCATTAACATTGATAATGAAACTCGAGACCATTTACCTGAACAAATCCACTGAATAAAAATGAAACTGATGTGAAAAAAAGTGTTCCTTTGCATTCTGAGACACACACACAGACACACAGACACACACTGGTGTTGGAAGAAAAGTGTTCTTTTAAAGCTTTTTTTCTTCCCCCCCACCCCCACCCCCAGCAGAACAGCTACAATAATCATCCCAAGTTGCCAAATGATATTTCAACAGGATTTAGGGAAACGAATCGAATGGTATAAAAGTTTTTTTTCCAACCCCCCCAAAAAAAGTTATAAAAAGTTTTGCTCTTGGGACTGAGCAAAGTCAACAGGTATCAGACGACTGATTGATTCTCTGATCAAAAGGAAAACTGAGAAAGTTCTCTTTTTGTGTGTGTGTGTGTGTGTGTGTGTGTGAAGGTCCCCCCCACTACCCCCTCGTCTGGGGTTTGGGGTGAAATTGCAGGAGTGAGTGATTTGATTTGATTCGTTTCAAAATATCAGGACCTCTCTGGTTTTGGGGGACAATTGGCATTTTTTGTGTGTGTGTATGTGTTTTTTTTCTCTCTCTTCCTCCCTCCCACCCATGATGTCAGTTGACAAACTTGTTAAACATTATTGGTGTGTGTGTGTGTGTGTGGGGGGGGGGGAGCATTGTGAGCTGTGGGAAGCCCTCCTCCCTCTCTGATCGCTGGGGGGCGATTCGGTGCCGTTTATAAAGGGCTCAAATTGCCATCATCTCATTCATTCAGTGGCTGGAGGTGTGGGAGAGGGGCTTTGGATCTCTCTCTCTCTCTCTCTCCATCCATCTCAACCTCCTCTTCCCCCTCCCTTTTCCAGTGCTCTTGAGCTGAAGACCACAGACCCCAAGTTTCTCACTTGCTTTTGCTGCTCCTCGAGTCGGTCGGGACTGTTCTGTTGCCTGTGGGAGTTGCTGCTGGTGCTGGTGCTGCTGCTGGTGCTGCTGGTGGTGGGTTGGTGGTGGGGTGGGGGAGAGAAGAGGACACAAGAGGTGTTGGAGGAGATGCTGCGCCCTTGGCTCCTGGGCTCACTGCTCGCTGTGTGTCTGACCACAGCCAACAGCACCAGCCACAGCAAACGCCAGACTGCCCCCGGCCAAAGTAAGTCCCTTCCTCCAATAACCCTTTAAACTTAAAAGTAACCAAAGCTTTTTCCCCCCCCACACTGACCCACCCTTCCCCATCCTTCCCTTCTGCTGCTTTTAAGTGACTCTGTGCCTTGTGCAAAACACACACACACACACACACACACAAAGGAAGAAAGACCCCATACCTCGACTTCTTAAAAACCATTGCAAACTTTTCCCAAACTTCTTACCTTTTAAGCAGAGAGTGTTTGACAGTACTCCTGGTGTTCTTTTCCTCTCTCCTCTCTCCTCTCTCTCCTCTCTCTCTCTGTGTCTGTCTGTCGTGTCTTGTCTGTCTTCATCCAGATCTTTTCAGTAAACTGTCCCCGTTTGCACAAAGCAAATAATTGAGACAATTCCTGCAGTGTTTCACTGGTGCTGTGCATTCAGCGATGTAAACCTTAAGCTCCAAAAAAAAAATGGGACAGTTGTATAAACTGCTAAGAAACGAGATGGCTTCAGCATACAATCCGACGCACAGAGATTATGCATCTATACTTTCTGGAAGAACCAAGCTGGTCAGGTTAACTCTGGGTCCTTTAAATTATCTCTGTTGTGAAATGGCTTCTGATTGTATTAGGTTATTAGACACACTTCAATGAGCTGCCAAGGTTCAGGGCTCTTAAACTTTCTATCCTTTCCACTGTTTAGTACAATGAGCCTTTTAACTTTCTCAGCTCTTTTGACCTGGTTGGAAGAATAAGGATTCTTTTGGTGTTGATTTGTTTTCTTTGGAAAGTTGGTGGAGTCAGCCCTTCACATGTGGCTGGTTTACCTGGACAAGAAACTGGGATGAATTTTAATCTTAACGTTGAAGTCTTTTCTTTTCGTCGTTCTTAAAAGAACTTCATTTTTTAAAAAAAAAGCTAAGTTAAGGGGTGGTGTATTTAAGAATTTGCCAAGTTCTGGATACTCTGCAATGTCGCATAAAATCATTTTTAGAGTCCCATTTAGAGTCAGGTGGAATTATTCAAAGAGAATGGAGTTTTTACCAGTCAACAGTCCCCTTGCTCGCTATTACGCAAACTTTATGACTATTTGTGGGACATTGCTTTGTGCAACTTGGCTGCTGTATTTGCCTACAAAACATACAGTCACAGTCGATCGTGTGAAGCGCTTTGAGACATCCTCTTGATGTAAAAGTCAGTATGCATCAAATACAAAGATTATTATGATGATTGTGTTAAATGATGTGGCTGGTTACCTGGACAAAGAAACCCATTGATTGTGTTAAATGATTTTTCTCTTAATCCATGTATCCCGATTAGATTTGGAATGGTAACTGAACATGTTTTTCCTCCCCTCAGGTTACTGCATTGATAATGGAAAGATTTATCAGGTCAATCAGCAGTGGGAACGGACCTATGTGGGCAGGGTTCTAATCTGTACCTGCTATGGGGCAGGTCGAGGCTGGAACTGTGAATCTAAGCCAGATGGTAAGTTGTTCCTTGTGGCTTTTCTCTCGAGAAACCTTTTCAAAACTATAACAAAAGCAAAGTGGATACGTTTTTTTAAAAACTTTTTTTGAGCAACTCGGGACAAGGTGTTCATCCTGATCTCTCAGTTGCTCGAAGTATATCTACAGGATGCCCCAAACATTGTGATATCTACATTATTATCTAAAATAAATCATAATTTCTTTTGAGACTTATTGGACATTGTAATGGTATCACAACTTTTTGGTCACCCTGCGCTTGCAGTGGAAAATGCAAAGTTTATTCCAGCTGGTTTATAAACATAGCAACAACAACTGCAAATTACATTGGGATAGCGCCTTTCAGGTCAGGACGAGATTTTTAAGAGAAAGTTAACATATTGTATGATATGATCATGTCTGATATTTCCATTTATTTGTTTGGATCAAAGTGGCAGACTCACATTCAGAGGTTTCCTCACTGACCCTCATCATCGCTAACATTTGTACTTGTCCTACAGATGGGGTAAAATTCCACATGAAATTAAATCAGCGTTTCAAAATGTACATTTTGATAAAATTATTGAATTCAGTCTTAACTTCAAAGTCTGTTTTCTGTAAGTTCTTGAAACAAACGTACAGCGAAAATAGTTTTAAAAAATTAAGGCTGTATTTAAGAATTTGTCAAATTCTGTACTCTTTGAAATGCTAATACAGTTAATAGACTAGACCCAGGTGCAATTTCTACCTGGAGGTTTCCAGGTTGGAACACTACTTGACTGTAGAGGGTGGCACAGCCGAGCCTGACCTTTCACATTTGGCTGCCACACTTGAGCACAACCAGGAAAGGGTTTTGTAGAGGGACCAGAAGCAGGAATTCTGGCAGATTTTTCCCTCCCTAACCCTTGTGAAGGTTGGGATCAATTTAATATCTCGTGTTACTCAGCACAGATCTCCCAAGTCCATAAGATGCAGCTCTATCCAATATATCATTGGGGCTGTCCCCATTCTATATATATATATATATATGAACACTTCAATGAACACCTTGCTATGTGAGCATGTCTGGATTTGATGGGCCAAATCACCTCCTTTTATGCAGTAAATTTCTATGATTTTATATTGCACATCCAATATGGTTTTGTTACCACACACTTGGCGTGCTATTTGCGTTGGGGGGATTGAGTAACAGGCAGTGCTGCTTGTCTGGCAGAACTCCTAGGTAGAAAGATGAGCACTGCTATCTTAAGATCCACCTGAGAGACATGTATAGCCTGCATGAAAGCTGATGCATTTTTCATCCCCTCAGTGGCACAGCGGGTGCAGTACTGAACCGTACAATGGAAATTGCATATTTAATGGATTGGGTTTGCTGATCTCAGCCACAGCGGCTATGTGGGCATTACTATTGGGCCCAATAACGATTAATGTGCAAAAATCGGCCAGAATCCCAGCTACTCACCACTGCTCAATGGCCATTGCTGGAAAGTCAGTGTGTGCAAGTGTGAGCAACTATCTTAACCTTACCTTTCTAGACTCGCGCATGAGAGATTGCCACTTGTGTGAGGTACACAAGTGCCTGTGCTGCCGCATGAAGGAAGGAGAGATAAATTGGAAGTAAACTAGCCTTTCCAAGACCAATGTTTTGAAGCATTGTAATGTAATGGAGTAAATAAAATGTCATTCATGGTCTTGGGGTTTTACCTGTTCTTACACATTAACTGCTCACTGTCTACTTCCTGCAGCTTTGCATTGTTGCACTGCGAAGCAGACTTGTCAGCCAAGTCCTGTATTTCCAGAGCATTTATCTCGTCATTCTGTGATTCTAGTGAATATAAATACCAGAGCAGGCGCGATTCATCACAGGGGATTGACCCTCGTGGTGTACATCGGATAGACAGTGATGCATTGCAGAATGTATTGCCAGGGTTACTTTAAAATCACAGATGTCATAGTGCAGTCAGACGGTCATTGAGTGGAATCCCAACAGTTTATCAGCACAGAAAGTGACTTTACTGTATGTTTTGATTCCTGCAGTTGAAGAGGTTTGCTTTGATCAGTACACTGGGACCAGGTACACTGTTGGAGAGATCTGGGAGCGTCCTAAGGATAGCATGACTTGGGACTGTACCTGTATCGGGGCTGGCCGAGGACGGATCAGCTGCACCATCGCAAGTAAGTTATCTGGTCACTTCCATTCTGCCTCTGTCTCTCTGTTCTGCCTCTGTCTCAATGACCATTGAAGTAGTTTAGTTGCTATTACCTGGTTCCTCTTGGTATTCTTTGAAGAATGCCTGCTTTTGAAACGTTTGTTAGAATGTCTTGGATCACCCCGATCAGATTATGTTATCTGGTGTCGTGTGTTACACCAAGAATGCCTGTAACGCAACATCTATTTTTTTCTTCCCCCTGCAGATCGCTGTCACGAAGGTGGACAGTCTTACAAGATCGGTGATACCTGGCGCCGGCCTCATGAAACACGGGGGCACATGCTGGAGTGTATTTGCCTTGGAAACGGCAAGGGAGAGTGGACCTGCAAGCCAATAGGTAGAACCACCTGTATCCACCCTGCAGGACTTTGCTCTATTATAAAACTCATTAAATATACAGTCGATTCACTTACAGTATATGCTGTGAAGCGCTTTGATACATCTCGAAGATGTGATAAGGCGCTATATCAAATGCAAGGATTATTATTATTTTACGTAGCTGCTAGTATACTCTTTCCTTTGCCCACCTGTTTTGCTCAGCTAACACAGTTACTTGTCCCCCAACCCCTCTGCATCTCCATTGATGGCTGTGCCTTCAACCACTACACTACCCTCATCTCTGAAACTTCCTGCCCCAAACCCTCCACCTCACTCTGTCTTTTATGTTTCTTCAAATCCCACCTGAAAATCTACTTCTTCGACCGTGCCTATGGTCACCTCCTCCTCCCTTGCTCAGGGTCCAATCCCGCCTCTGTCCAGTGCCCTGAGATGTTGTCCTATGTGACGGGAGCTATAAAAATGCGAGTTATTGTTGATCACAGGCATTCACTCCACCTTCCCTGCACATTGTTACTGACTGTTCAAAAGGGACTATCAGCCAAACACCCAGAGGATCAAATTCAAGATCTTCGTCCTCGCATTCAAATCCTTCCCAGGGTCTCACAGCACCATATCTCTGCAACCATACCCTCTCTGCTTAGCGGATACTTGGCCTGCTTCATTCCCCTGCCTGATCTGCCCTATCATTAGTGAGCGAGCTTTTAATCATTCTGTCTCCAATCGTGGAACTCCATCCTCGAGTCTTTCTGCCTCATCCCTTTCCATCTCAGTTTTAAAGCTTGCCTTTAAATGCGCTTTCTGTTTGAAAACGCTCTATGTCATTGAATGTAGTTTCCCCCTCCCTCCTCCCTGCCCCCAACACTCTTTTTATCTCCACTCCTGCTCACTGGCTCAGCTGCCCAGTTATCTGTGTGAAGCTCTACGAGACGCCCTCTTGATGTGAAATATGCTTGATAAATGTAAATCGTATCGTAAACAATGGTGAGGTAACAAAATGGACAATGGATGGAATATTTCTTGATGCTTTAGGGGACTGATCAATCAGAAATCAGTACCTTGGGACTAATGTTTCATAAGGCTGTTGGTTTGTAACTCACTTTTAACAAAACCGTGTTGAAAGGGGTGGCCAGAACCATTTGAGTTTCACATCAGGGTTGGTAGGTACCAGTGCTGAGGTCTGATGTGAAATTTGATGAATTTGCCTTTTTGGAACCCATACTCCTTGACTTTAGAGGAGGAAAGAGGGGATGGCGAAACAATTGGGATGTTGACTGTAACGTTAGCCCAGCGTCTGATTTTGTTTCTTGAATCCACACAGCGGAAAGATGCTACGATAATGTTGGCGGCACCTCTCACGTTGTTGGGGAGACCTGGGAGAGGCCTTACCAAGGCTGGATGATGGTCGAGTGCACGTGTCTCGGAGAAGGGAATGGGCGCATCACCTGCAGCTCCCGAAGTATGTTTTCAATCACCCCTCCGTGCTCTTGTCTCCCCCGTGCTCTGCATCTCTTTATCAGTATTCATTAACTATTGGATACTTAAGAACATGTGCAATTTAAGGACTTAAATTTTTAATGGGATATAAAATCTTGTTTTGTAGATTTTGTTTTGAACTTGAGAAGCCCACAAGTCACACATTTACACGGGAGTAATTGCTGTTTATTTGGATGAAATGGAGGAATCCTGTAATTTTAGACTAAAATCTAAGTTTGTTTAAGAAGGTGTTCATATCAGACTCATTCTACATTGTTAGACTGACCTCTACTGAGAATGCAAAAGGGTGTGACTGCAGGCTCTTCTCTATACCCATTTGCAGACAGGTGTAATGACCAGGATACAAAGAGTTCCTACAGAATCGGGGAGACCTGGACAAAGCAAAATGCCCAAGGAAACACTCTTAACTGCGTTTGTACAGGCAATGGGCGTGGAGAGTGGAAATGTGAAATGCATGCATCTTTGACATCTGATGTTGGTAAGCGCATTTCTATCGAGGATTAAACCAGATATTGGACTGGTCATAGGTTGCTCTTTCCGTTCTAAAACTAATATATTTGGGCAACTGATCCTAAAGTGGCTTAAAACGTGTCGCAAGTTTTTTAAATTCTAGTGGGTTAAAACTGATCACTGATAGAGCAGCACAATGATTTGTGAGCGTATTGACAACAATGCATTATCCTTTGAATCGGAAATATCTCAGTAGATTCCGCATGTCAGGAAAATTATTGAACTTGGAAATGGGCATTTGTGATAGGTGAAATCTCAAGTAGAGACACCATAAACGGGAGGGGGGGGGGGAAATCCCCATTCACTCTTGTATTAGGTAATGCAAGATCAGTATTGTGCCACATAGCTCTTTGTGAATTATGTGGCAAATAAGTTCCCACTAGAGAATGGGCATTTAATTTAAATCATTTCAATTTACTCCATGGGGCCTTCAGTTTATTTTTCTCTGAGAACTGCTCAGATCGGTGACATATGTACTGTACTGAAAGGTCCTCTGGGGCCGTGAAAGTCTTCAGTAAAGGAATATTTATTGACTGAAACCTGCTCCTGTTTTCTAGCTGTTGGCTCTCATGTGGTCGCAAATGTTCACCCTGCTGTTTACCAGCCTCAGCCTCACTGTGTCACTGAAGGTGGCACTGTGTATGGTGTTGGAATGCAATGGATCAAGATGCAAGGCAGCACACGCATGCTGTGTACCTGCCTGGGTAACGGTGTCAGTTGCCAGGAGCTATGTAAGTGTTTCATCATTGCAGTCTCTTGAGTCAATGCAGGAATGCTGGGAATGATTCCCAAGTCATTTTTAAATTACTTTAATTTTTAAAAGCTGCAAAATTGGCCCATTAAAACTCTACGCAATGTTTCTTGCAACTACTGTGAATGTGTTAAGATACTTCCTGTGAGTGCTAAATTTAGAGGTGATTTGAATGGTAAATTACTTCCTGCAGAATATGTGAGTGTATGTAAATGTGTGTGTTGCATGTGTGTATGTGGGGTGCGGGGGGTGGGTCATATCTGTATATGTGTGGGTCTGTATATATGTGTGTCTCTGTGTATGGATGTGATATATATTTTTGTGTATGTGCATGCTTATATAAATGCATGTGTGTGTGTTCATGTGTATGCAATTTGTTTCTCATAGTTTGTGTGAGACCACTCGCTTCTTTTACTCACTAGACCATTGGGGAACTCAGGTCTTCCCTCCTTATGACCGTTTTAAATAGTTCTTCAGAACTGTTGTCGTTTTTTCATTTGCCAACTTCATAACCTTTAGCAGTGACTGCGAGCTGCATTTCAACACACTGACTGCTTGACTTATTCTTCATAAAGTAACACTGTGCTGCAAGTGAGCTATGTTTATTTGTTCCCTTTGATGCCTTGCGTCTGAAAGGAATTAAGTGTGTTTCAGACGGCTCCGTAATTTCTCTAGAGACTCCTGTGTTACGCAGCGATATTTCAGAGTTTGGCCATTTCAACACTGTTGCCACTATTTGTTTAATGACAACCATTTGCAGCCTTGAAAACCAATTTTATTCTGTCACTCTCAACTCCAAATATCAGTAATGCATCTGGAGAACAGAATTGAGAATTTTAACTTTCCAGCAATGGTCGTATAACTCAGTTGGAAAATATTACAAACGTTGAGGCCAGTAAAGGGAACTGAAATGTGATGCCAAGACAGCCAGTAAATCTATCTCATTCACAAGCTCTTCAAAACTTGTCAGAATGGAGTGGGTTGTTTTTTACATGGATATTTGACACCCAGGTGCACTGGAGGAATTTATCTTGGTCTCTTTTACCTCTAGTGGGGAAAAGCAGCCTGGCTCAGTGTCAGCATGGCTTAGTAGTAGCACCTTTCCCGAACCTAGAAGACTTGCAAGCCACAAGTTGCATCTTAGCTGACACTTTAATGTAGTTCTGGGGTGCGTTGCATTGTTTGAGGTGTCATCCTTCAGATGAGACATTAAACCGAGGTCCATCTGCCTGTTCAGGTGGATGTGAAAGATCCTGTGGCACTATTTGAAAAGAAGATGGAGTTTCTCCTAGTGCCATAGCCAACAGTTTCCCCTCCCTCCCCCCCCCCCCAAATAAAATGGTCACTCACTCCTTGGTTGTTTGTGGGACATTGTTGTGCAAGCTGGTCCACTTCACAATATTTTCTGTGAAACGCTTTGAGACATCTCACCCCCAGCCCTGATCACAGTGACTGTTGCGATAAGGCACTATATCGAAGCATATTGTTATATATATATATATATGTATATATATCACTTGTGTGACTGTTTTATCTTGTGATTACCAGCAATGCAGACATATGATGGTAATGCAAGTGGAGCACCTTGTGTATTCCCGTTCACTTTCATGGGCAAGAGTTATCACACCTGCACCGATGAAGGACGTCGTGATAGCAAACTCTGGTGTAGTACCAGCGCAAACTTTGACAAAGACGGAAGTTACTCTTTCTGCAGAGACCAGGCTGGTAAGTCAAAAGAATTCTGAAATGTTTGCTTTCCACCTAACTTGTATTAGCAAATCCAGTTAAAAAGCATAAAGCAAGTCAGTTTGAATAAAAACTCCAGTGGGGATGTAAAACAGTAATACAACGTGGGTTCATATAAACAGCAAAAAAGAAGTTATTTTTGTAGAGGAAGCATTTCAGTAACTATATCCCAAAACAAGTTTAAATATGATACATCAGTAACAGGAACACTCGGTTTTAAAGCAAAATCCAGTTAATACAATCCACTCACTTATGTTTGTTTCTTATGTACGGAGTTAAAGGGGTTTGAAATAGAAAATAATGTCAGTCCAGAGGCTGAACCTTAATCATAATCAACATAATCTTCACATTTGATACAGCGCCTTTCACGTCGGGAGGACGTCTCAAAGCACTTCTATAATGTGGAGTGATTGTAATTTGTAGCCTTCACTCTTTGTTCTAGTAACTTTTACTTTGGAAAGAAAGTTGACAGCCTTTCTGTTTTCTTTCACTTCTTAAGCGACCACATTTGTCAAAACCCGAGGAGGGAACTCCAACGGGGCCTTGTGTTACTTTCCCTTCTTGTACAACATGCGCAATTACACCGAGTGCACGGCCGACGGAAGGAGGGACAGCATGAAGTGGTGCGGCACGACACAAAACTATGATGCCGATGGCAAATTCGGCTTCTGTCCAATGTCTGGTATGTTTCAGCCTCCCAATTCATCCTCGACTCTTTGCCCCCACATCTGCTTCCCCAAATGGGCATCATAGAGTGGTTAAGTGCATCATTATAATTTGTATTATAAACATTTGGCATGGACTAGTTGGGCTAAATCTACAGTACAATCCATGTATGTCTATTAGTTCCATGATGGAAAGTTGTGCTTGTATTTGCATTTCCTGCCTAGAAAACACTGATGGGTGGGGTGGCGGGGAGGCAGTAAAATAAAACTGTTCTTAATGATTTCAACGACCTTTCAAAAGTGACGTTGACTAGCAATTTCAACTTTGGTCGAACGAACCAGCCAGCGGTAGCTGTGAGCCAATGGTTTCATTTTCCCGATTAATTTAGTTCCCAAGTCTTCCTGGGACCTGAAGCCTTTCAGATTGCGTTCTCCAGCACTTTACCGGGAGTCCGTCTGATCCGGACAACCACCATAAACGATCAAAGTAAATCATTCCCGGTACCTGACGGAATGGGAATGAAAGGCATGGTTTCCGAGCTTTCTCCTTTGTAAATTTTTTTGCACTGGCTCAGGGCAACTCTCTCAAAGTCACGGAATGAGCAAAATCGTTATAGATGTCGAGGAGTACAAACCAGATTTGAACAGGGTGTGAATGGTGTGTGTTTCCGCAAAGCAGTTGAGCGCGCTTATGTACTCTTCTGTGTGCAGTTGCTCACTCTTCCACTTTCCATCACCTTTGCTAGAAAACGAAGAAGTCTGCACCACTTCTGAAGGGGTTATGTATCATATCGGAGACCAGTGGGACAAGCGCCATGATCAGGGCCATATGATGAGATGTACCTGCAATGGGAATGGTCGTGGAGAATGGAGTTGCATTGCACACACTCAGCTTCAAGGTCTGTTTTATGTCTATTTTCCGTGCAATGCTCAGCGCAGTAGCTGTCAAATAACATGTATATTACTGTAATGAAAATTTGAGTGTGTGTGTTTTAATGTGTGCATATGCATCAGTGAGTGTGCATGTACATGTGGGCCGTGCAATCTGTATGTGCAGGCGTGTGGAAACTTTTACAAGGAAAGCAGAAATTCCTTGGGTTATCTTCGCAGTTTACCTGTTTGGATTCCATTTGTGCAAAGCTGCTATCAGACTCCTTTCTGTGAATGATTTGCTTGTTTTAAAGTGTTGCTGTCTGAGATTTGGGATCCCCGAGTTTAATCTTACCCTCAGATCAGTCGAAAACAAGCAAATAATCTATTCTGTGCCCAATGAAACCCCTTGAACCCACCCACCAAGGGTGTCCAGTTAATACTTGAGAGAGGGTTTCAGCTTTCAGTTTGCATTAGGAGTGGAAGCTTATGGTAGACATTTTATAGGTGTATTGCAAAGCTCTTCAATCTAGAAATGCAGTGTGTTCAGATTCCACGTTCAATGGTACCAGGAACACTACCCGTTGGATTCAAACAGCAGTTCCGATGAACCTAAAAATAGTGATCGTCGTCACCAATAGAGAGCCCCAGCCCCTGTTCACTGATATATCTTAGTTCTAAGAAAACTTTGCAATGCGATGATGTGATTGTGAAAAATGTACGCTTTCTGCTACTTGGTCGGTTTTGCCAGGAAACCATGTCTTCTGTTCTTCCCCACAGATCAGTGCGTCGTAGACGGAGTGACCTACGATGTGGATCAGACCTTCCGCAAGCGACACGATGAAGGACACATGATGAATTGCACCTGCTTTGGCCAAGGCCGTGGGCGATGGAAGTGTGATGCCATTGGTGAGTTTATATATGTATAGAAACATGTGTTTTTTATATATAATGCATATACATAGATATACACATATGCGGAATATATCAGTAAATCTATATATATATAGTTTGATATCAGTAATTCTGTGTATGTGGTTTATATGTGTGGTATAAATCACTAAGTATATAGATGTGACGCCTTTGGTAAGTCTACAGATGTGATGTCAATATAGCACCAGCAGAAGGTCTGAAGGTTCATGCAGCCTCTGACCAGCAGCCTCATCCTTTGCTGCTGGCAATGAAGAATTTACGACATGAGAAAAAATCTCCATGTGGTTCTGATTTTTGAGCACATTACAGCTGAGCTTTGAACTGGACCAAGTGCACAACTTCTTCCCTCTTGTACAGTAAAATGTTCCAGGTCGATTTTAATTTGTTTTTTCCTGGCTCGCATTTTGGCGTCTGCGAGCGATGCAGAACAGTCTAAACATTGCAGCAGTTTTGAGTAATGACCAGTAATGGCAAGATCTGAGATGTAAATCTCATGCCATAATCTTGACTTAACAGCCACAACGGAAAATGGGTTCCTTTGTTTGTTTGTAAATCCGGAAATGATCACACTCGCGAACCAGCTAGTAAATTAAATGTTCCACGTCCTCTCTGCAGATCAATGCCAGGACACCGAGACCCGCCAGTTTTACCAGGTTGGCGAATCGTTCAGTAAATTGCTTCATGGGATCACATACTCGTGCCACTGCTTTGGGCGAGGAGTTGGTGAATGGACCTGTGAACCACAGCAGCCTTTCCCAGGTACAGTTCATTTTCACTGAGCCCGAGACTCGTAGACTGGGGCTGTTCACAGGGTCAAAGCTGTAGGTAGATCATTGATGACATAATAAAAAATAACACTCACTGTATTGCATATCATACCTGTAATGTCAAAACGTCTCATAGCAGTTTACAATAATTGCTATTTATAGTGTATTGACGTACTTGTAGGCAAAGACAGCAGCCAACGTTATCCCACAGCAATACCCCTCAAACAGCCAGTAGGTGAACCTCAATTGAGGTCGTTCAATCTACCCTCCACCCCACTAGCTCCGACTTCCCAACTCAACCTTTCTAAAGAACCTTGTGAGACGTTCTGCCTATAAGTTGTTGTTTTAAGTGTAACACAACTGGTCAACTATTTACTCATATGGATACACTGCCAACTTCACAAGATGAAGGACTCTTATCTTAATGGTCACAAGCTAGAATGTTAGCAAATGCTTTGTTCCACATTTATAAATGGAAATCCCTTTCAAACTGAATGAGGGAAGATTTGCTAGGGTTAGCGGTATTGTGTTGTTTTGGGGATATTATTAGAAGCAGTAAGTTATTTAGACCCCAAAGCAACAGCATACTGCAAATCAGTATTTTTTTGGTCAGGATTCAGGTAAAGGGAAGGGTGAGACTGGGGGCAATGGTGTGGCATGGGGGGTGGGAGGGAGTGACTTAATTTTCTTGGGAGTGGTGTACAAAACCTCTGCATTAAAGTAGGACAGAAAATGATGGCTTGTTCCATGTATTTTGACATGGTAGCCTCCAGTTTAATATTTGTACAGTTCAAACTCTCCACAAGAGTTGGACATTCCCACATACGGCAAAGCAAGAACAAATGGATATTGGGAGAAGCCTTCTTCCCCTTGCTATAGTTTACATGGGCCAGTATCCAAATAACTCCCCGAGCAACCTTGTGCAATTGTTCTTTGTCTCGCTCGGCTCTGCTTGCCCAGAGGGAACACATTCTATCTTTATGGTGTAATTATCCCTGGTAAACTAGCTGACTGTACACTATCTGTATGAGTGGAGTCTCGTTCTGTCTGTTGTATCTATTTAAAAGGGCCAGAGGAGCTGCCCGGGGCTGGCAAATGCAGAATGTAACGAGCCAAACCACATTAATGTTGTGATGGCACTGGATAGATCAGGAAGTAGGGAGGCAACCAGATGTAGATAAGGAGCCTATTGCACTCTACTAGAATTCCAGAGGGAGAAACGTGAATAAACAGTTCAGTTAGTCACTCAGCGCTGTGAAAGAGAGATTGATACTAAAGTGGGGAGAGTCGAGGGATGTAAATTATAGCTTAAAGGGACAGCTACTCTGCTGATTCTCCCCTCCCTAACCCAATACTTGATTTATTTCTTCATGGAAGCTGACCATTATAAGGCCTTTGTGAATCCTGTTTTCTAGAAAACAGGATTCACAAACAGAAACATCAGGATAAAGCACTGTATGCTGATCCACGCTCAACATCCTCTTACCACCCACCCCCACCTTCACCTAAACAAAGAGAGTTCCAGTAAACCACATTCACTTTTAGTTGCTTTATTGTTGAGCCTTGTGGTAAGCAGTTGATTGGAGTTAAGCAGCACTTGGGGCTATTTATTTATCACTGCTTTTGCTGTAAAAGTTAAGAGCTCTGCTCTTGTCCACAAAGCCAGTCATCTGCTGTCTGTCTGTTTGATCAGAAATCTCTCAGGGACGTGTCAAAGCACAGCTTGTATGACTGGAAAGTAGCTTCCCTTAAAACTGGAGAGGCGGAGGCTGAACTTCAGCTCCTGCATGGTTAATTTCGTTTGAGATATCAGTTAACTTTGGGGTTGATATTTCAGTTGACTCCGGTTTTCCACATCAGTTAACTTTGGCTAGTTTTTTTTGTTAAGGACAGATGTGATTTTTATATATATATATATTATAAAAATATATACTGACTTCAATTCCTCGTTTCTCAAAAGAGAACTCTCTTAAGGATTAATTGTTGGTAAACTCCGAGAAACTCTTAACTCACGTGATTCCCTGCCCATTCCAAGTGTTTTCTTTTGGGTCCTTTCTCGTTCCAGAGCCTATTTCCTCTGGTTTCTGTTGCACAAGATTTACAAGCTTTTAACATTGTGTGACCTGTGGTGTACTGAAACTGGAGCAAGCACAGAGATTTGAGGCACGAGTTCACCACCTCATTTGATTTGAAGCTGAATCTTGTCCAATTCATATTGTATGAGCTAGAATGGTTGGAAGTGAAGCCAACACTTGCACTTTTAGCTTGCTTTAGTGTTTTTTTAAACCAAGCACTAATTTTATAGGGGCTAATTTCACATTTCAGAAAGGGGACATTAGGAACTAATGGATGATCCTTGCAGGATTAGTAACTAGGTTAAGAAATAACTGACCTAGTGATTTGGTCACTTTATCACCATTACTATCTTCCTCCTGTTTACGGCATCAGACAGAGAGATGTGGTACTGGTAAGGGCTGTAGGGTCGCAGGAGATCGTGTAGCATAATGGTTAGCGCGCTCGCCAAGCAAGCAAAAGACCTGGCTTTGATTCACTGGTGGGGCAAAATCTTTGGCAAGTTACCTTACTCCACATGCCTGTTTATCTAGCAGTAAGTAGGAACCTGGTTGTTAGTCAATTAGAGGATCACTTTGTGGGGGTAATAATCCCTCAAAAAAAAGGTGATCACTCAATCCTTGCTGTTTGTGGGACAGTGCTGTATGCAATTATGTATTGCGTTTCACCCACAAAATACACAGTCCACTTTATGAAGCGCTTTGAAAAATCTCAACAACATGATTAGGCGCTATAACAAATGAAAGAATTAATTATTATCACAAAGGTATGGGGTGATGGGGGGGCCGAGGCCATTGAGGGGTTTGAATGCAAGGACAAGGCACCTTGAATTTGAAGTTAGTTAATCCAACCAGATTTTAGTGGCCTGTTGCACGCTTTAACAAAAATTAAATCATCTTGCAGGAGGCAGTGGAGTTCGAGTCCTGATCGCAGAGAGCGGGAACCAGCCAAACTCCCGTCCTGTCCAGTGGAATGTCCCATCGTCGTCTCACATCAAGCAGTACATTCTGATGTGGAGACCTGTAAGTAACTCAAGTCAACAAGTCATCCATTTCGCTAACATCCTCCACATCACTCATGAAAGCTAAAATAGCTTGCACTTTCCTGATCATGTGAAACTCACTATTTCCCTTCCAACCAAGACACCTAACTCCTTGTCAAAACAGTGGGAAGCATCAGTAAATACAGTAAACAGGATGCTGCTAACAGTTTTGCTAACTCAGTTATGCTTAGATCCCCAGATGTCATACTCAAGTTGTCCAGTGCTCTGGTCAGGCTGCAACTACAAGTATTGCATGCAGTTCTGGTCACCGTGATGTTAGGGTACTGCTCAGGCACAAGAGGCAGTGCAGAGGAGAGCAACAAGGATGATCTCTGCTGTTAAAGAGAATATCTCAAAGATTGAAGAGGTTAACCCAGAACAATATGCACCAAGACAGAAGAATTACAGGACGTAGGTTTAGAGTTGTACAGGGCATTGTCAGGACAGACACTAAGAAATGTTTCTTTACTTGGGAGGATAATTAGCGACTGAAACAGATTGTCAGGAGGGTGTTTAGGGCCAGGAAACTGGATCGGATTAAAAAGCAGCTTGATGCTGTTATGGGAGGATGAAGATGGGATGAATCCAGGAGGTTAATGATAACAATTGACTGCTGTTGACTTTTATCATTCATAAAACCCCTGCATGGTTTTCCTCTTTATGTATTTGTGTGGAGAGCTGTGCTGGTATCTCCAAAGCTTCTGTCTTACTTTGTTAATGCTGTTTTCACCCGTCTGCCTTCTCATCAGAAAAACAGTAGAGTCACGTGGGAGAAAGTGACAATTCCTGGCAACAAGCACTCCTATACCATCAGCGGTCTGAGATCTGGGATCACGTACGAAGGCCAGCTCATCAGTATCTTGCACTACGGGCAGAAAGAGGTCACCTATTTCGATTTCACAACCTCACACGGAGCATGTAAGTAATGCTCCATGAAGCACTTAATGCTCATTCTCCTCCTATGTAAAACCATGGAAATGGACAACAAAATAGGTGGACCATTATGCATTTGGCATTTGCTCCTCCCAAGAAGATCTGTCCATTCTAATGCCAATTCCCGGATCTTTCCCCGCATCCATCCAATATGTTTCATCTGCCTGTGTTCGCTTTTAAGTGCCCCCAATTGACTCCAATCTGGTAAATCATCCCCCCTGAAAGAAGAACAGCCAACCCTGGCAACTCGTTACATCCTCCGACCAGGAGAAGAACCTCTTTAACTTGACATATTCAGGGGGGGTGGAAATTTTGCCAGGGTCAAGAATTTCTGGGTAGTTCTTCAACCAAGCTTTGGGAGCTGCAGAAAACCCAGACAACTTTATGAGGTCATCCAAAGATTTGAACGCTGCGAAAGAGATCGAAAATCTAAACCCAGGTGGATGTTCTTCCCTTTTTCCCTACTCTCTCCCAGAGCAAACAAAAGCGCATTTTACACGACTGCGCGGAATGTGAGATCTTCCGATGGGGCTTTTTGGACTCTTGTATAGGTTTCAGTTGCCGTTTTCTTTTCTGGTGAACTGCTCTGTCCCAAGTGCTTTTAACTTCAGGCTTGTGCTGGAGGTGAATACTTGGCTCTTTGTGCATCCGTCATGACCTTGAACTTGCACTTCCTGTTTCCACAGTGGCCCCGTTCGGGGGGGAGACCACTGACGTCAATTCCCGAAGTCACATTCTGGAGACTCGTACATCGGAATCCATCACTGAGATCACCTCCAACAGCTTTGTGGTCTCCTGGGTGTCCGCTTCAGACACAGTGTCTGGTTTCAGGATCAAGTACGAGCTCAGTGAGAATGACGCCACACCTCAGTACCTTGGTAAGAAATGAATTTACTAACTGTACCCTGTGGCTACTTAACTCGAGCAGTGAAGTCTCATTCAGACTTAAGTCAGGCAAACATCATTCCTCAATTTTATCTAGCGTGGCAGTTTTAAGCCACAGAATCCCGAGCATTTTTGCAGCAATAGAATGTGGCCCACCACTGTGCTTTTTGCCCCCTCTACGCAGGCCCGAATTCCCACCTCGTCTTAGCCCCCGAGGGAAGTTTTGTCTTTAGTAGGATTTAAGAATTTCTGGAAAGATTATTCAACCGCGTCTTCATTTGCAAACTAGTTTTCTGCCATTGTTTTTTTAAAAAAAGCAAGACTTCCACATTAAGTCTAGACGTAAGACTTTTCCATTGTTGTGCGCAATCTAAAAACCTGAAGACAAATCCAAACCAAGAGTAGTGTCGGTGGAATTTGGGGTCCTTAAATGTTACTGACCTGACCCCCCTTATGTTCTCTTCCCAGACGTTCCAAACACTGTAACATCTGTTTCTATCCCCGACCTGTTGCCTGGTCGCAAATACATTGTCAATGTATTCGAAGTGACGGAGGAAGGCGAGAAGCTGATCCTGACGACCACTCCAACAACTGGTAAATTCACCAAAAGAATGCTAATAATAATAACAACAATACTAATAATTAATGCCACTAATAATAATAATAATTCTTACATTTGATATAGCGCCTTTCATGTCGGGGAGCATTTCAATGCTTTTCACAGGATACACTATAAAAAATTGGGGCAACTGTTGAATTTAATCTCTTTACACCTTTCCTTCCAGCACCTGATACTCCCACTGAATATAGCGTTGATGTTGTTGATGAAACAGCCATCACCATTAAATGGTCTCCACCTCAAGCTCCCATCACAGGTACTTTTAAGTCGTATTACCAGGGTCATCTGTAAATAGGCTTTGCAGGTTATGGAACACTTTATATATCTAGATTCGTACATGAAGAATGGACACTCACATGAAGCGGGAGAACCACTCATTGCCTTTTAAGAGAGGAGGAGAAAAATTGAGATGTGTTATTTAAGGAGTAAATGTATTTATTATGAATTGATATTTAACTTGTTTTGTTACACGTGACAATTAGTAACTAATGTACCCGACTGAAACTGTTCAATGTAACACCGAAGGTTACAGAGTGGTCTACACGCCCTCTGTGGAAGGTGCCAGCACTGAACTTACTCTGCCCAGCACGTCCACCTACGTGACCTTGAGTGACCTCCATCCTGGTGTGCAGTACAACATCAGCATCTACGCTGTGGAGGAGGAACAGGAAAGTGTTCCTCTCGTCATCCAGCAGACCACGGCCGGCGAGCCACTCCAAGGTAATGAGACGTTGAGTGATGGTCGGGAATTTGAGGGGAAAATCGCTGATCTCAACCGTAGTTCTTTAGGGGACGATTTTGCACTCTTCTTCTTAATTGATTTCTTAATTTAGAAATCTGGAAGTCCGTGAGGCCGACTTCTGTTCCAACTCCATTGATTCCTGCTTGTTCTGTGAACTAGTCTGCAGGGTGGGGAGGTCCTACAGTTGTGGATAGATTACCCGACAGAATGAGGCTTTTCGTGAATGGGAATTCCGAATGGGAACTAGATGTCCCGTCACACACTTTACAAAATTCTTCAAGAAAGAGCACAGAATCGAACCCCTAAGCTGCCCCTAAGGGTCGAGGTCAGCATCAGACCTTGAGCTGTGACACTCAACCGTGACACAAAACATTTTGTTTTGTGAATTGCCAGGACAAAGAATGTTGAAAATTGCGGTTTGTATGTCAAGTAATAAATTGGGGTGAAGGTCAGTAACAAGCTGTCAGGAACATAAAAACAAAATGGTCTTAATCGAAAGCAGCTGGACTGGGTTCCAGTGATTAACCATCCCTCCGAGGCAGTGGAGCCAGTGAAAATTACTCCCAATGCAATCCTATATTATCAGCAATATGATCAGCATAATACGGGTCATGTTTCAGCGCAGCCAGAATTTTGCTAAACTACTAGGTTACATTCTGGTGGAAACATTTTAAAATTCACTGGCCAGACCGCAGACCAAAGCAGACAGGAATGCATTGTAACCCGGGCTTTGTTCTGCTCTTCCCTGGCCTGCTCGGGGCATGGATAACTTTATAGGGTCAAAACATTTCTGCAGAAATTGTCTTTATTTTTACTGTGGCAGAAAACCACAGCAATAACTTTTCCCCGCAGAAACTTTCATTAAAACTGAATGGCTCACCAGACAAAAGCACTTTGTCTGTCTGTCTTCAAAGCAGAATGAGTGGCTATTCAGTCCAAAGTTCATTCTCGTGGCCATATTGGGTCAAAACATTCTGCAGAAATCTTTGTCTGATAAGGTTTAACAGTACGTTGTGTTTGTCCTCAGAGGACTGAGGAATGGATTTCACTGGGTTTCACTAATAAGATTGCATTACTTTGATAAAAGTATGAAGGGCTTTGGTGAGGTGAACACAAATAGACTTTTCTATTTTTCTGTAGAAATCTTTTAAGATAAAATGGTCTTACAGCCTAAGACCAGGAGGAATTTGGGGCTTTCAGTCTGCGCTTGGGATTTTCTTTATTTGAGCCACTTAGCTCAATCCCTCACTGCGTCTTTGAGTCTGCGCATCCTCTAATATTCCTCTTCAAGCGCCTCAATCTAATTCACTTTTTTAAAAAAAATGTGAACTTTCCCTAAAAAGAACAATGTGTGACAGAGAATTCTGGCCATTTCACCCGATTTAGAGAAATCCTTAAATTATAAGAGGGATTCCAATTGTAGGCTAGGACTAGGTAGACTAATGTGCGTGTGGAAGGCTTTACTGTGGCAGCTGCCGTTATGATCCTCATCGGTGATGAGATGCTTTTCTCTGGGAATTCCAGCTGTCCTGCCGGCACCCACCAACCTGCAGTTTGTGGATGTGGCTGAGACCAAGATAACCATCATGTGGAACCCACCAAACGCTGAGATCACCGGCTACCGTGTCAGGATCCACCCCATCACCCGGCCCAGGGAGCCAGCCTTTGAGCTGCCCGTTACCAGAAATTTTGCCGAGGTCACCAGCCTGTCGCCCGGCACCACCTACCGCTTCGAAATCTACACATTGAACCTAGACACCGAGAGCACCCCACTGGTCGGGGAGAAAACCACCAGTAAGTAGACGTTCACACTGCTAAACATGTAGTATTTCACAGCTCCCACAGTCCAGACTGGGAACCACTGGTACTGCCTAAAACCCATAGTAAAACTTCTATTCCATTAAGATTGTTTTCTATAGTATTTATAATAGTAACAATTCTTGCATTTGATATAACACCTTATCACATTGTGGCTGTCTCAAAGGGACTTTCTGTTCCTTTTTTGCTGTATTATTAGTTTTAGGTCCTGTCTGCCTGAAAATTTCAGTGGACGTAAAGGGGACAAATTGTCCCGCTGTGGCTTTTTCAAAGAAACTGATAAAATTGGACATTCACTTCATGGCTGTTTGGTGGACATTTGTGCACCAATTGGCTGCTGTATTTGTCCACAAAATACACAGTCAAGGCACTTCACAATAAAATCCTCTGAAGTGCTTTGAGATGTCCTAATGACATGATAAGGCTCCATATCAATTATTATTATTTATTATTATTATTAATATCTTACCTCTCAATTGAATTGGCTGCTCATCTCATTCTTTGCAGGCGGAATGACGTTGGTGCAAATTAGTTTCCACATTTGTTTGTTGACAGTTGTGTTTTGTAAAGTAATCTTTAAGTGTTTATTTTGATGTGAAAGTTGTTATATGAGTAAACATTGTTGTTTTTGTTTTATGGAACATGGTTTGTCATTCACTGCTCTGAACATACTGTCCTATTTCAGGTGTCAGCCTGGCTCAGTTGGTGGTATTCACACCTCTGATTATGGGTTCAAGCTGACACTCCAATGCAATCCAGGGATTTGCTACAGTATCGGAGATGCTGTGAGATGTTAAATAAAGTCCCATCTACCTGTTTAGGTGGGCGTTAAAAAATTCCATGGCACTTGAACAAAAAATAACGAGTTTCCCCTGGCCAATACTGTGGGATATTGATGTGCATAAATGGACTGCAATCCTCCTCCACCACCTCTCCTCTCACCTCAACCTTCAAGGTTCTGTCCTTGGCTGGTTCAGGTCCTAGCTTTCACACCGCCTCCACTTCGTCGTGGCAAATTGTTTCTCCTCCAGCCCTCACAGTGTCTCGTGCGGTGTTCCTCAGGCCCTCCTCATAGGCTCGCGCCAGTGCTTCCGCACCTCAGTGCTGGAAGCATCAGCCTCCATGGCTGCACACTCAACCTCCCTAAGCCAGACAGTTGTTTGACCCTGAACTGTCCTTTCTCCTCCACATCCGCGCCATGACCGGCACTGCCTACTACCACCTCCACAACATTGCCAGACTCTGCCACTGCCTCACCCCTCAGACTACCGAAACCCTCACTCACGCATTTGTCACCTCAAGGCTTGATTACGGGAACCCCCTCCTCATCAGCCTTCCCAATTCTTCCCTTCACAAGCTGCAGATCATCCAAAACTCTGCAGCTCGTGTACTCTCGCGCACCAGGCTCCGTGACCCCATCACTCCCACCCTCGCCCGACTCCACTGGCTCCCCATCCCCCAGAGGATCGAGTTCAAGATACTCGTCCTCACCTTTAAGGCCACCCATGGCCTTGCCCCCTCCTACCTCTCTGACCTGCTGACTCCCTACCAACCTGCCCGCTCCCTCCGTTCATCGGGCTCCGGCCTGCTCCATGTCTCCCGCCCGACCCGCCCTACCATTGGTGGCCGAGCTTTCAGCCTCTGCTCCCACACTCTGGAACTCCATCCCACAGTCCCTTGGCCTCGCTTCCTCCCTTGCCTCCTTGAAGGCCGGTCTCAAGACCCTTCTCTTCGATCGTGCCTTTGGTCTCCCTCCCACCTCTCTGCCTCCCCTCAACCCTACTCCACCCCTCCCCCATGCTCCGGCCCCGACACCTGACTGTTCAGTGCTTTGGGACGTCCTCCCGATGTGAAAGGCGCTCCATAAATGTAGTTTTGTTGTTGTTGCCTACAAATACAGTCACTGCATTTTGAGTAAACTCTTGTGAAGCGCTTTGGGATGTCTTAATGATGTGGTAAAGTGCTACATCAAATGCAAGGATTAAATTATGTGATAAACCTTGCTTTTAGTACAGCACCTTTCACGTAAGGAGGACGACTCAAAAGTGCTTCCCAGGTTTTACTGGGAAGTGGAGAGACTCTTTGAGTCGGTCAGTATCGTGCATTTCCCATCACGTGTATGTTTTTGCTCACCCCGTTCTCAGGTGAGTGGCGTCTTGATTTTGATGTGTCTTCTATGTTTCTCAAAATAGAACTGGACGCCCCAACGAATCTTGAGTTCAGAAATGTGAGTGAAATGTCTGCGATTGTGACATGGACGCCTCCTGTGGCCAGAATCACAGGCTATCTCCTCGTTTGGGGCCTGACCACCGGGGGGCAGCCCGAGACCGCCAACTTGAGACCCGGTGTCTCGCGCTATCCGCTGAACGGCCTCAAGCCCGGGTCTGAGTACGTTGTGGCGCTCACTGCCGTGCAGGAAAACCAGCAAAGCCAGAGAATCCACAGCATCCTGACCACCTGTGAGTTTGCCTCTTGCCTGTGTTCCTTTTCCCTCCCTGTGGTTTAGTCCTTGCCTCTGCTCCACTGTGGTGCTGTTCTGTGTCGACGTGTTATCTTTGAGCAGAAGCGGAAAAGATCTGTTGCATTTGAAGCAGTATTGATATTGTCAGGTGATGTTTGGGGTCAGAGGAAGCGGGGGAAAGCAGATGGAGGTTAGGAGGGGTGGTGGTGGGGTTGGGAAGAGGCTAAGCATCATTCTCGAGAGGTGAATAAAGCAATTGCTGAGTGAGAATATTGTTTGTACTCCCTAGTCCATAAAATGTTTTTCTTTTGATTGCAGTTGAGTCTATGGGCCCCATTCCTAACTTTAACACTGAAGTGACTGACACAGACATCTTGATTACCTGGACTCCCATTAAGAAGTTTTCCTTCAAGGTGAGAATGCTCCACGTAGTAAGTCATTGGGACATTAAAAGATGCTAGTTAAATAATAATTAATTCTTGCCTTTGATATGGCACCTACAACCTCAAAACATCTCCTCACCACTTCACAGGTAATTACTGTCAAGTGTAGTGACTGTATGTGTCGATGTGTGTTTTAGTGGTTGTGCGCTTAATTTCAAATCAACTCTGACCAGTCTACAAATATACATGCCATGGTGCGCGGGTGAGGGCCTGAGACTGTAACTCTCTGGTTTCATACAGATGTGTGGAGGAGTACAATTTTTTCTTTCCTTTTTTTATTAGGTTGGAGTCAGACCAAGCGAGGGCGGAGAGTCTCTCGAAGAGATTTCAGACACTGGCCTGATTGTTATCACAGGCCTGACGCCAGGAATTGAATACACGGTTGAAATCTCTCTGTTGGTCAACGGGCAGGAACGAGATAGTCCCATCATTAAGAAAATTGTTACCGGTGAGCGCTTAACTATAAACTCCTGCCAGGGGGTGTTGTAAGATTTGATTATGCGACGGTGCCAGAAACATCATGATCCTGAACTGTACAGAAATATGTACTGCAAAGCACGGTTTCTCTTTGAACTGAAACTTAAAACACTTCTCTCAAGGTTCCTTACTAAGGAACAGGGAAGTACGTTATGCCGACTTGTGGGAATTCCGCTCCGACGCGATCCACTTTTGGAGCAGAGTTGCTGCAGGTCAAGGTGACCTGTGTGTCCGGTTGACGAAACAAGTCCACACGTGGATTCCTTATTAAAAAAATCATGTTTTAAGTATTTCAGTGTGTTGAGCAGGGATGGGAGGGGTGGGGGGTTGAATGCTGGTATTATTACATTTGCTTATCCTATGAAGCTTCATGACAAGCTTTTGAAATGCTCTGTTCCAGGGCTCGCTTTCACTGTTCATTTGTTTTATTGATTGACTTTTTGTGACCTGTTCACACAGACCTTTCCCCACCTACTGATCTGAAAGTCCAGTCCAATCCCACTACTGGAGAACTGACAGTCACCTGGCAAGAAACAGCATCACCAGGTAAAGGAAACCTCGGCACGCTTTTACTTTTTCACTCGAAATTGCTGTTTGGAAGTTGTATTTGCCTGTTGAGAATCCATGAGGGAAGACTGCAGTCCACTTACTGCCATGCGGTAGTGATTAGTTACGTGATATGATGTGCATCTATTTTATATGAACAGTCCAGTGATATATTTGCATCGCTCTATGGGAAATTCTTAACTCTGGTTTCGTACAGATGCGTCGAGGAGTACAATTTCTTTTCCCTTTTATTAGGGGGCTTTCGAGAGGAAGCTCATAGAGATGTTACATTTTAAATGGCATTGAAATAACCAAACCCAGGTCAATACTTTAGCATGCACCAAGACAGTAGTACAAGAGGACAGAGGCTTAGAGTTGTAAAGAGCAATTTCAAGACGGACACCAAGAAGTTTTTCTCCAGCCAGGGGGTAATTAATGACGAGAACAGGTTTCCAGGAAGGGTGGTTGAGGCCAGGACACCAAACTCATTTACAAAGGTTTACAACTGCATTTTGAGTTACTCTTAGTTGTTTGCTAATCTGATCAGAAACTATTAAAGTAGAATTAATTTCATGTCCTTATAATCAAAGCAACCTTACTGTTCAGAATTGCTGTTAGATTAATGTTCGTTGAACAGTATTTCGAGGAAATTCCCCGTGGGACAAGAAAAGCTGTATTTATCTGCATGTCAAGAGTGTCCTAAATTTTGAAAAATATGTTTCTGTAAGCTTCTTTCAAAAGTTGTAGAAAATCTGCTTTAGTCTAGGCTGAATTCAGTGATTCTGGAAATCAAATTCTGGACAGTGAAATAGAGCATAAATACAGTAAATCTAGACCCAGGTGTGATTTTTGTCCTTCCCACAAGTTCCTGGAAGATTCTTCAGTTGTTAAAATGTCTTGCACACACACATACGGTCCTGAATGAAACTCCAGCGAATTCCCTCAAATTGTTTTTTTTTTTTGCTGGTAAACTAATCCCGTTTTTTCATTGCAAAACGACCTGTTTAGATGTGACTGGTTACCGAGTGACCTGCGCTCCCAGGAATGGTCAGCAAGGTGGCAGCACACTGGAGGAGTTTGTCCAAGTCGGACAGAGCTTCTGGACCACGGATAACCTGAGCCCCGGTGTTGAATACAATATCAGCATTTACACTGTAAAGGGTGACATGGAAAGCGTTCCAGTTTCCACAATAGTAACGCAAGGTAATTGTGCGCGAAAACCGAAGCCGCCTTTTTAACCTCTGGCCAGCGCCTCTCTCCAATTCAAGGTAATTGATGACAGCCTCTGGGGCCACTGTTCCTGTAATGGTTGAGGGTGTCTCCTGATTGTAGACTTGGGCACTATTGTCCCTGGTGCAGGTACGACACACTTTTGGCTTCTGAATCTTTACATCTGCTTTCTCTTAATGCCACAATGAAAGCATTTTATTTCATGCTTCAAATGCAGATACCCCATCCCTCTCCCACACCCCACTGCACAAATGGCCTTCATTGTCAAATGCACCTTCTTTCATTGAAGAGCTTTTCATTCGAACCGTGCTCCTGCTGTAGCTTTCACTAACTTGTGCCTTGGAGTAATAGAAGGCCTTTCAAGCTCTGGGTTAAAGGTGATATGAAAAATGGCTGAGATTTTTTTAAAAACTGCTAAATTTAACAATACAATAATGGATAAGATTTTAAAATTGTATCTATCATATGGTATGAAGGAGTCTTATCAGTCAGAGTCGCTGCATTTTACAGTATATCCTCTGAAGCGCTTTGGGACGTCCTCCTGATGTGAAAGGCGCTATAACAAATGTAAGAATTATTATTATTATTATAATTTGGCGCATGTTTTATGAGCGTGGTTAATCTTAAAAGGATAAGTGTTCAGGAAGTAAAAGAGGCATTAATGCATATCACCTTTTGAATGCTCCTTCACTGCAAATTCAAATAATTCTTATAAGCCATCATGCTGTTCATTTCTTTCACCATATTTCCTCCTTCTTGCCATTTAACTGATCAGACATCCCCCAGCTCACTGACCTCACCTTCGTTGACGTTAGCGACTCCAGCATTGGTCTCAGATGGACACCACTAAACTATTCTACCATTACTGGCTACCGCATCACTGTCATTGCCGCTGGGGAATCGGTTCCTATATTTGAAGATTTTGTGAGCTCGTCTACAGGATATTACACTGTTTTCGGATTGGAGCCTGGGATACACTACGACATCAGTGTTGTCACTCTTGTAGAGGGTGGTGAGAGTATTGCTACAACGCGACAACAGCAAACTGGTGAATTTGTAACTCTTTCACCCCCGCGGTCCAGTGCCCTCAGTGCTACATGACTTCACAAACTCTTTTGTTTGTGTGCGTTTTCCCCAAATTTGCACGAGCCGTCGCTGCACTTTTGCACTCGGCATCTTGCCAAATAAGTGACACTCGATGACTGACCCTCAAAACAAAATGCGTGTAGCACTGCACGGTACAGAGCCACTGTGATCTCCCTTGTGTGTGTGGGTGTGCGCGCGTGTGTGTGTGTGCATGAGTTGAGTTTGTGCCTGTGGTTTGTAGATGGCATCACATGATGGATTGTTCTTCCTGCGAAATGGAACTTTGAAATGTACTTTTGCCATTCAAACCGATGAGTCCCAGAACGTCGGGAGCGGATTTCTGCTGTCTCTTGCGGTGGGGAGGTGGTGGTGTCCTCTTTAAATGCAGATTTTGTAAATTCTTTTTCCTTTTTGTTCAAAGGAAAAGCAATCCAGTGTGGCGGGTTTGACTGTTTGCATGTGAGGTGGTTTCCATTGGCGGTAACTGGAACCTTGTCTTAATTTCAATGAACTCCTAGAAAAGACTTGGATTAGCCTGACCATAATCCTGTGCAGGATGCAACAATGAGTCCCTATCTCATGCAGTAGTCACAAATAGTCATCTTTTTGTTATGTGGGAAACAAAATGGGCCTTTTGTAATTCTGCTAAAAAGACTGGGGAATCCCACTATAAAACTATGAGGAATCCTGTTATAAACTAGCGGGAATCCCATTATAAACTATGGGGATACGCCTATTGTCAGTAATGGAGATTTCCTTTATAAAAAGGAAATTCCTCTATAAACAATGGGAATTCTCGCTATAAACAATGAGGATAATAATAATCTTTGCATTTGGTTTAACACCTTGTCACGTCAAAAGGACATCTCAAAACTCTTCACATTATTTACTGTGAAATGGAGTGACTGTATCTGCAGGCAAAAATACTCTTCTTATAGCATTCCCCCTTTAATCAATGAGGATTCCCCGCTATAAACAATGAGGATTCCCTTTATAATCTCCTAAAAACAGAAGCCCACTGTAAACGAGCAACAAAAAAATTACTATTTGCATCAATCTGCAGGTGTCGTTTGTATCTTTTTGTGGTTCTCAATTCTTTAACATCTTGGTTACACTTGATTTCTGTGTGCTGGAAAGGGTTAAATGTCTGCTTGCATTAACCTGTGGCTTTCGACCTCAAATGCATGATTATATTTCTGTCATGTTCTCCCCTGTGCCCTCATCTTATTTTTGAGCCTGTTCTGGAGAGAATCGGTTTATTGACTAGTGTTCCGTTTCTCCTTTGCAGTGGTGCCTGCTCCCACTGACCTGCGCTTCACCAACGTGATCGCTGACGCAATGCGAGTTATCTGGATACCACCCGATTCAGTCGACCTCAGCAATTTCCTCGTGATCTACTACCCTGAAGGGCATGAGGAAGATAATACCAGACTAACCATTTCACCTTCAAATAGCATGGTCTTGCTGAGAGGTAAAGGCTTGTTTCATAACCCTCCCCGCGTGTGGGGTCAGACCAATTATTCACACTGCTATTGGCTCCTTGTCATTTGGAAGAGATGGATTTGGCTTTAGATGCTCATACTGAGTGTCGCCTCCGGTACCGTGCCTCAGCATGAGCAAACAGATGGAAACTCAGTTTAAAGTCTCAACTTGAAGGCGGCACCAATAAGCACTGCACAGCTCCACCAGAACCTCACTGTCTCAGACTAGGCTGGTGAGCTCAAAGTCTCAATATGTGGCTTGATCCCACAACTTTCTGACAGAGGCCAGAGCGCTACCAATTTAGCTAAACTGATACTTATGTACAGGGTGACCAAAAAGTTGTGCTACCATTACAATATCTAATAAGTCTTAAAGAAAAGTTGTCTGAACTGGAGAGGACCAGAATAAGATTACTGAATGTGCTTTTGTTCTTCAGATCTGCTGCCTGGTACTGAATATGTGGTTCAGGTCTTCTCTGTGATCGATGAGCGTGAGAGTGCACCACTCAGTGGATTGCAGAAAACAGGTACAATACAAATAAGATTGGGTAAATGTGGATTCATTTAAGCAAGGCACAGGTTGGCTTGGCTTCTGGAGAAGTAAAATTGCCTCAGATTTCCCCCCTACTGGTTAATCCACATTTCACTGGAGATTATTGTCATATTGCAAAATGTATTCTCAAATTCAAATGATGTTTTTATGGATGTTGTATTATTTTGAAAGGCTGGGAATGGGCAAAAAAATGCCCAGGTTTTATAATAATAATAATAACATAACAATTCTTACATTTGGAATAGCTTCTTTCATGTCGGGAGGATGTTTGTGGGAATGGACAAAGGATGGGCAAACTTGGCAAGAGATTTTCCGCTTTCATAACTCCTTTACAAACTACGTACATCTCCTACCCTTTCAGATACAGAAACATTTTATTCAAAAGATTGGAATTAATGAACAGTCAGACTGATGTGCAGATGTGAGCTCAATAGAAAGCAGCTTTGTTGTGAACGTTCTGAATAAAGTGACTCATGGGTGCCCCCTAGGTCATATACAATAAACTGCTCTGAAACCGTGTCTATATCACCAGTGGACATATCAGATCAGTTGTTTAGACCCTGATTTGGGATATCTATTTTCCTGGTCTGTTCATTCCAACTTGGATTCCACTTTTTGAGGTGGCAGAGTATCTCGGAGCACTTAAAAGTGGAGAGGAAGCTACTGATGAGCTATTATTCTGCATTAATTGTAGGAGTTTCACCGATGCAATATGTTCGGCTACTGGGAACCTTTAGTCTTTGTAGTGGATTAACTGCACTATTCCTAAGCTTTTCCCAGTGTGTCAAGTTGTGGAAGTGTAGCTCTCTATGAGAAGACTGCAATGGGATTGTTCCATTTAACTGGGACCTACATGTAGACTTTGTGCGAAAAATGGGTGCAGCCTTTGCTTGGCAGATGGTAACCTCCTGGTTTGCGGAAGCATTTCTTCTTGTGCAACAATATTGGACCAGAAATATTTTCTCATAAAAAGGTATTCAACTATTCCAATATTTCAAATATCCTTTTCCATGTGTTCCGTTCACCCACTGCAAGCTCGGCAGCCAAGTCAATCAAAGTTTTTGCCAACATCTGGTTCAAGATCAATGTATTTATTTATATATTTCACTTTCCAGGAATGGCTGGTAGCCCAGGCCTGGGCTTATGGCACACAGTTTAAATAAGGCTGTTTGCAGTCATATAAACTGGGTTCTAACGTTTCCTTTGACATTTGCTTGTGCTCTCCTAGGCATTGACTCCCCAACTGGCATTGACTTCTCTGAGACGACCACCACCTCGTTCACTGTGCACTGGATTGCACCCCGTGCCCCGGTGACCGGATACAGAATCCGATTCCACATCGATGGTGGATCAAGGCCAAGGGATGAGCGTGTACCTGCGTCCCGCACCTCGGCTCTGCTGACCGGGCTGTCTCCAGGCAGCGAGTACATCGTCAGTGTCTTCGCTCGTAACGGCCCTCAGGAAAGCAACCCTCTGGTCGGCCACCACTCCACAAGTAAGCATTGGGTCAAGACCACTTGGTTAACTGAGCACAAGATGTTCCATCATTGAGTGCGTAACTCACAGGGAGGAATAATAACAATAATAGTCCTTGCATTTGAAATAGCGCCTTATCACAGCTTCTGGCTTCACAGTATACTGTCAACTGAATTGACTGTATATTTTGTGGGCTAAACGCAGCAGCCAATTGTGCACAGCAGTGTCCCATAAACAGTCGTGGATTGAATGTCTAGACTTTTATTAGCATTGCACAATAGGTTTCATATTACACATCACCAAGCACCAGCGGGCTTCATATGGCCCCTGTCCTATCCGTTCCACCATCGGTGGGCTGGCTTTCAGCCAGCTGCTCCCACTCTCTGGAAATCCATCCCTCCCCTCTTTCAAGGCCTGTCTCAAAACATACGACTTCGGGCCACTATATCAATGTAAATTATATTGTACCACTCTTTTATTTAAACATAGAATTGTAGAAATTGCAGTGCAGAAGGAGGCCATTTGACCCATAGTTCGTGAGCTGATGCAAGGTTATTGTAACCCCAATTCCCTGCAATTTCTGTGTCCTTTTATATAATGCCAAACATCTATTCATGTGTGCAGGACGTTTCAAATCCCTTATTCTTCCACTTCAAATATCCTTCCAATTCTCTCTAAATATTGTTATGATGTCGGCCTGACTGGACACCTGAGCCAACAGCATTGGCATTGTATGTTCTCACTCTTTTGTTTGTAACTAACCTCCCCTAAACTCTTTCACTGAATATCTTGATCTGTTTCAGAAGCACAAGTTGCTCTGCTGAATTATCGCATGTCTTCTTTTTCTCCAGCTTCTGATTCTCCAGTTGATCTAGAGTTTACCAGCTCGACTCCCAAATCCCTGACCGTCAGGTGGACGCCTCCTCCTGTGGCCGTCAGATATTACAGAATAACCTATGGCGAGACAGGTCAGTAATGGTTCAATACCTCCATGTTCACAATGCTTGGAAAGAGCGATGGTATCAAACGAGAGATACATCAGAAATGTGTTTTCAGTTAAGAGCTAATCCGGGCTTTAATGTCTAAACACCCTTATACCCGGTGAAATATTTAATGGTGTAAAGCATGAAAATAAGGAATGTTATGATGGATTCCTTATAAGGAATATAAATAAGGAAAGGGTCTATTAGAGATAAAGTGCATGGAGAGGCACATTCTGTTCCAGACACAGGGAAATTTCCATGTGTAGGTGGCATACATATGTGCAACTCTCAATCAGGTTTGGATGCTCTTAAAACAGTTTCCGTCTTGAGTCGGAAACATAAGGAGCCTCACATTCCTATATAAAAAAATATGAGTGTGAAGCTATGGTGGCTAAATGGTCAAAACTTCTGGTGTATGTTAGCTGACCTGCTGCTAGCGGTCTTTATGCAGGAACCTTTACTGGAACTTGCACTTGCTAGGAAACTGGGTTAGGACAGGATAAGGCTCAGCTTGTGATGCCCTCACTGCTCACTGCCTGACTAGGCTCAGCAAAATGCACGAGTGACTTAGGCAAGGAATCTTGGAAAGATTCCCCAATGGAACAATGAAGGAGTCGAAAGCAAAGAGCTGGAGACGAAGAGGAGAGAGAATCGGTGACTATCAGGACAAAATGAGTGCATAGATCGGCAGCTCCACCATTGAAATAAATGTTCCTGTGTGAAGTAAAGGTGATGGAGCTGGAAGGTTGACTGTATTGTGATGCACTGGGTTTTGGAGCTGCTTACTGACATTAGATGGATGGCTTGTATTTAGTTCAAAGTGATGCCTTCCATGATGTTTTCTGAGCAACTGTTGCAGAGCTTTTCCAATCCCAGTTAAGGGATCAATGATCTCACGTAGTCAGAATGCTTGCCTGTCAAACTCCTCATTATTCGGGTGAGAGAACAGACTTGAGGAAGGCTTTGCTTTGAGCGCTTGGTGATGCATCAGCAGCTCTGGATGATCTCTGCCTGTTTTTTTCATAGGAGACCGTAAGCCTGTGAGAGAGACCACGGTGCCTGGTGGAGAGTCCTCTACTACTCTCAACAACCTGCTTCCTGGCACCGAGTACAAAGTGACTGTTTATGCTGTGGCCAGTCGCGGGGACAGCCCAGCATCCAGCAGACCAGTTGTGGGCATCGAGAGAACAGGTAGGAGAGGAAGCATGAATGTAACACCGACACTGTGTGTGTGATGTGTGTTAACATTAACAATATTAACATTGTTAAACTCTTTTGACTTGACTGCTTTAATGTTACAGAGATCGACATGCCAACTGGACTAGAAGTCAAAGAAGCACACGGGAACAGTCTGAGAGTTAGCTGGAGACCCCCTGTTGCCCCAATAATAGGTTACAGGGTCACAAGTGTCCCTAAGGATGGCCAGGGTCTACCTGTAACCCAAATGGTCCCTGCCGGTCAGTAACCAGTTACTCCTGTCAGTGGGAGGAAGAAAAGCAGACGGGGAGCTTAATACTGAAGCACTGGTTGTGCAGATGAGCATAGATGGGGCAAAATTCCACTTAGATATTAGTGCGTCCAGAATTCGACAAATTTTTTAAGTGGGCTTTCCTGCAGTTCTTAAAAAGAAACTTACAAAAAATCATCTTCAAAACTAATGCTGTGTTCCGCATGCGCTGAAATGCGACATAAATAAGATTTAATCTAAACCCAGGTGGAATTTTACCCCAGAATCTATGGTTAAGCATAGAATTCTATAGTTAAGGAAAGGTATTTGAGGGTATGGAGAAAGAGCGGGGAGTTGCGATTGGGATAGATTTCTTTGTTGGAAGAGCAAACATTGTGCGGTAGATTTAGTATCATTCCACAGATAAAGCAACAATGAACTGATTTTAAACATGCCATACATTAGGCCTGAAATTCCGCCTAGTCTTAGCCTGTGAGGCCATTCTGTGGCATTGTGGAATATTCTTTAATTCAGCCTTTATTTGGAAGCTGCTTTTTCTGCAATTCTTTTTTTTTTACAAAAAGCTTTCAAATTAAGACTGAATTTAAGAATCTTTTACAATTTTGCACTTTCTTAATTTAAAGACAAAAGGTAGAATTTGCAGCCATTTATTTCAAAGCCACTTACACAAATGCACAGCATTAATGTTTAATACAATGGGAAAAGGAAAGGAGGAATAGTAATAATTAATAATAGTAATAAAAAGTAATAATGAGTAATAGTGGTGAGTAACAAATAATAACAGACAGTGGTAAATGTAATACGGTTTGGTTGACAGTAATATCTAATAACATTTACTTTGTAGCAAATGTACAACTTTAATTGCTTATTTTTATGTGAAATTTTTCTAGAATATTTATTGAACACAATTCAACAATTGCAGGAGTGTTACAAAGAGACACAGCAGTCAAACCGTGACTTACGTTATGTGCCTTGTCCCTTCCAGGTCAAAACACGGTGACTTTAGAGGGCTTAATGCCAACAGTGGAGTACATGGTTAGTGTGTCTGCACTGGGTGAGAGGGGAGAGAGCCCACCCCTGACAGAAACAACCTTCACCAGTATGTATTCCCATACTTATTTCATTGATAACCTCTTACGGCAGGCAAAAACACTGTAACAATCCCCTTATTTGGAAAGCCGTTTTGGTAGACTTGTGTTTCCTTCCTGCGCCTTGCCTTACTCCGGTATGAACTGCAATTACTTTTTTTTACTTGTGCACTGTCCCAAGCTGGGAAAATTGACTTAAGAAAACTGTACCCTTCAGTTGTCCTGCTCCTCCTGTATGGGGGGAAAAAAGGCATACAGATTCATCCTTGTGTTCATTTGTTCCAACGTTTACATGCAACGACTTGGCCACAATCTCTTAGTACCATATCTATGCAGGTTTCTCTTCCCTCCCTCACCCCCAACCCCCACCCCACCTTCCCTTTGCTGCTCGCTTTGTGCAATGCCTCTCCCCGCTTCCCACCTTCCAAATTAGATGCCACCCTATGAACTGATCTTCCTTCTGAGAGGTACAGACGATGCAAAATCGCCTTGGTATCCCATGGAATGGTTAGCCTAACTGCGTATAGTGCATGCTGTGCTGTATCCGCTCACTTTCGAAGCCTGCCGGAATGAACAATTGTGTCGCTTTGAGCTTTTCAATCTATGCTCTCTCTCATGCATGTAGTGATATGGCTGCTATTCGGACATTTTTTAAATGAGCCATGTTTATAGTGTATTGAAGAGGCTGTTCAGGGGGCCGGGAAGTCAGCAACTCAAGAGGCTTCGTTCGGGCATTGGCGCTGAGCTCTTCAATGCACTGATAAAAAGAGAAAAGCACTTCAGAGTGTTTGCTTAACAGCCTGGAGTCAACAGCAGCAAGGTTAGAGAGAGAGAGAGAGAATAAACGCTGCTTAACTTTGCTTCCCATTATCTTGCCTCGCAGCCATTGATCGTCCGAAAGGACTCACGTTCACAGATGTTGATGTTGATTTCATCAAAATTGCTTGGGAGAGCCCTGAGGGTCAGGTCACTAGCTACAGGGTGACCTACTCAAGCCCTGAGGATGGAATGCGTGAGGTTGTGCCAGCACCTGAGTCTGAGGATGATTCTGCTGAGCTGAAGGGTTTGAGGCCTGGCACAGAGTACATAGTGAGCGTGTATGCCCTGTACCTTGACCAGCAAAGTTTGCCTCTGATAGGCAATCAGAGTACAGGTATGTGCTGGCGTAGTATCATTTCTGTAAGGTTATTAGACGCACAGTGGATGGCTACCGGCAGTACACCAGTTACTCTTCCATGGCTTCATGCCATGAAAATCAGATGGAGCACTGAAGGACCAAAAAAGATAAGAAATTACTAACTCGTATTGAAGTGGAACAGAAATGTGTCGGGGGTGGGTGTGTGGGGGGCGGGGGATATGAGAGCCAAATGCTTCAATTGATCTTCACCCAAATCCATTTAAAAATGAGCATTCATTTATTTGTAAATGATAATAATACCAGGCCGTTGCTACTTCCTGATAACTTGTCAAAGTATCTATGTTCAGGTAACAATGCCCACCAAATATGCTTGGGTAACCATGACCATCTATGTTTAGTTACAATTCCTGGTATCTATGCCATGCTAACACGGCACATGGTTCTGTCTGGTGCCTGGTTTCTCCTTATCCCCCCCTGACCTACAAACGAGAAGTTAGAACCTGACCCCCAGCCTGTAATGAGACCACCGAGCCCGGAACATGTAATCAACACTTTACAATGTAATAGAAAATCAGCTCGACAAATGTGAAGGAAAATTCCAAACTTCAAATTAACTAAAGTACCAAATTAAAACCATCCCCCAGGAAATCCTGTTCATGCCATTAATCTTTATAACGGCCAGAGGTAACTTAAAAACTTCACAGTTGTATTTAGTCAACCTTAATACTACATCCATTATAATAACTATATAGACGTTTAGTACACTCACAATGTGCGCCCATTACCTGAGCAGTTTGGATCAGTCCACTTTTATATACTGCTCAATTGCAATAATTTTTCCACTTACCATTTGCCTCAAACACACAGTCACTACACATTACAGTAAATCCTATGAAGTGCTTTGAGACATCCCCCTGACATGAAAGGCACAATATGAAATGCAAGGATCATTATTTCTATTATCACATGTTTGTGCTAATGTCTCAGTGACCGAGCCTGGTTTCAGGATTGAGATAACCAAGTTAACGTCTTAACCTCTTCTAGAGCGTATCACTATCCTATTGACTTCCTCACCTTCTCCCCCTCCCACCCTCCACTATGCACACACACACACCACACACACACACACACACACACACACACACACACTTCATCTTGTCAGAATCATGGCATGTTAGAAGTTTCCAAGTAGGCTTTAGCCCTCGGCATGGATGGCAGGAACCCATAGCTTGGTGATTTGGATCAAGACCCGAACATAACAAGTTCTCAAAAGTATTTTCTTCCCAGTAAGTTTTTTTTAACCTTAAATGCGTTGAGTAAATTATTAATCAAAAGGAAATGTCAAGTGGCTCAATCCGCAAACTTATCTCAAGTGAGCTAGACAACAGGAATCTGCGGATTAAACGGCTGTGCGTCATTTCTTGTGAACTTTGAAAAGAAGCCTCACTTGCTGCTCTGCCCTGCCTAGCTTGTTCTGCTTTACCTTCTCCCTGTTTGCATGTTCACCTCTAAATCCCTCAGGTCCTGGTGCAGTAACATTCCCTGGTGAGAAACACTTTATAGACGTTCTCGATTGACTGCGACCATTCGTAAGCATAAGCAGCACTGGAGGGAGTGTGAAATATTTGCTGCACAAACAATCTAGCGCTGATCAGAGGCAGAGCTTCAGTTGGATAGATCCCCTGAGAGAGTTTAATGAGGAGTTGCCTATTCTATACTGGGAGCTCAATAAAACCAGCCCTTCCCAGATGTTGTCAGTGATTCCAGCTGGGAGACTTGGCTATTTGGCACTCCAGTGTAATTATGCAACGCATCTCGATTGGAAATGTTCTGCAGGCTGCCTGTTTACTGATCCACTTTTGGTTGCTTCGCCCCTTCAGCCATTCCTTCCCCCACTGGCCTGGAGTATGTACAGGTAACTCCAACCAGCATGACCATTAGCTGGCATGCACCCGATGCTCAGCTGACTGGATACCGTGTAGTGGTGAGCCCAAGGGAGAAATCTGGTCCGACCAAGGAGCTGAATCTGAGCCCAGATAACACTAGCGCCACCATCTCTAGCTTAATGGTGAGTATTTCCTGTTAAATGGGAATACATTTCATCTGTATTTCACTTGATAATTTCATTTTATTACTTTAAAGTTGTTTATTTTGCACAGTTGCCTTTCTATTAGCACGTACAAAATAAAAGTCAAACCAATTTGAGAACCATTTTCGTCCATCCCCCTGCCTTCAGGTTGCAACTAAATACAACATCTTGATCTATGCCATGAAAGGCTCACTGAGCAGCAGACCCCTGCAAGGCATCAAAGCAACGCTTGACAGTACGTACTTCCTTTCCTCTTCTCTTCTGCCTTGAAACTTGCTGGGTGCTCCCTCTCTGCATTGCTAACCTGGTTCTTCTGTGTTGTCTAGATGTCAGCTCACCCCGCAGAATCCGATTGGGTGGGATCACGGAGACCAGCATTACCTTGCAATGGCGCACAAAGTCCTCCGAGACCATCTCTGGCTTCCAGATTGATGCAGTGCCTTCTGGCAGCAGGAGCCCTGTCCAGAGAACTGTAGGTCCTGACCAGCGAGTGTACACCATTACAGGTAAAGTAAAAGAGTCACCCACTTCTTTAGACAGACCTTGGCTGTAGTGCACCCCACCAAATCAGGCCTCTGCCAGGAATTTAATGATGATAATAATGCTTCCACTTGATGTAGTCATTATCATCAAGCGTCTCAAAAGTGCTTCACAGGATTTTAGTGACTGTAGGCAAATGTGACCGCCAATGAGCACAGCAATGTCCCACAAACTGCCTTGAAGTGAAGGATAAAAGATATTCTGAGTTGCAAGCAGACCTTTGCACAGTTATGTGCTTCTTCCCTCTGTTACTTTGAACCCGAGAGAGGTTTGGGTGACGAAGACCTTTCGGCTCATCCGATCTCTTCCTTGAGGAATACCCACTCTACCATCCGTCCATTTACAGCATCAATCAATTAATTTACTGTAAAGTGTATTTACAGGATTTACTGTATAGTGCATTGCAGCAGCTAATTTGACACATATCAATGTCCCACAAACAGCCTAATGAATGAGTAAAATTTTTACCTGGGCAATTGTTGGCCAGAACATTAGAAGAAACTTCCTTCCTTCATCGTCATTTCCAGCAGGACCATCGGATATTTAACATCCACTTGAGCAGAGACATGGGACCTCAGTAACGAATGATGTTATGTGTTTTGGCTACCGCAACTTTGTTCTGATTCTCTTTCTCTTCCTTAGGTCTTTTGCCCGGCACCGAGTATAATATCCACATTTACACTCTTAGTGGGAATTCCCGCAGCCCACCCTCCACTATCGTTGCTAAAACTGGTGAGTAAGGTGTTATAGTGAAAGCATTGTGTGCTGTTATTGTAGGAAATGGGACAGGTTTTGTGTCATTTTTGGCCCGGGTTTTACCTCCACAGTTCAACAAACCTTCACGGTTCTTAAAAAGAGACGGCTTCCAATTTAGGAATTTTCCATAGCTGCACAATATTAAATCGTAACATAAAACGTTTTTTACCAGCCAAGACAAGGTGGGATTTCAGGCAACAGATTTTGAAAGTCAAGTCTCTGCTTTGTCTGTTTGCACTTGTATTTCCTAAACTGTCTCTTTCACTGTAAGTTGGGACTTGTGCGAGGAGGTAAATCAAGTTGAGATAACTATTTTCCCCAATCCTATAGGTATCGATTCTCCATCAAACCTCCGGTTCATCTCAGCCACTGCTGATACCATCATATTCACATGGCAGCCACCACAAGCTTCGATCACTGGCTATATTATTACCTTTCACCCCAGGAGAGAGCAGCCCGTGCCACTGAGGCCTCAGCCGACGGCGACTGCCAGGGAAGCTGTGATCACAGGTACGCGACAGACACCCAAGCCAGCAAAAGTGACAGCTTCGCAGGATGGTACCAGGGATGAGTTAGATTTATTACCAAGAATGAGTGAATTCAGCTATCACTTGGGGTTGAGGCGATTGAGGGACTTGACAGAAGCATTTAACATTATAAAAGGATTCAATATGGTGGACGTTAATCAATTGACTGTTTCCGTTTGTTGGTTGGTCATTTGATCTTATCCTTCCAGAACACCATCCTACTGTCCTATGATGACATCTCTACCAACTGGAACAGGCTGACTCTACTGTAGATGTTAACACTTTTAAATCTATAATCCCTCTCCTCCTTTCTCAACAGGTCTTCAGCCTGGAACCGAATACTACATTTACATTAAAGCAGTTCAGGGTGATCTACAAAGTGAGCCTTTGATTGGAAAGAAGTTCACAGGTAAGGGATCTCTCCCTTCAAGGTCGCAAAGTGAAGTTAAGAGATCGAATTAGTTGCGTACATACAGCCTGAGCAGATCATTCATTCAATCTATGAAGAAACCTACTCCATTCAAATGAAATTTGAACTTTACGTGGCCTAAAGCCTGATATCAGAAACCTCTGTTATGACCAAATCGTTTCAGTGTTAGAAGCTCACTATTTAAGATCACTTCAAATGCTAAGATCAATTTTGCCTAAATATTATGTTAATGTTTATGACTTTTTAAACCCTCTACAGTAGAAACCGTTCTGTGCAGAAGTCCACATTCACTTAGATACTTAGACATCCAAGACCGAAAATTCCACCTAGTCCAAGCCTCTAAAACCCATTTGTCTGAAGATGGTGCAGAATTGTGGGGTTTAAATGCATTTGTAATTTTGAAGCCTTGTTTGTATTTAAAAACCGTCGGAAAAGCGGCTTTTAAATTGAGAGTTAATGTGCTATTTTTCCACACTTTTCCACGGGATGTTGCATTTTTAGACAAAGTAGTCTTTTGAGGCTGGGCCTTTGTTTGATGTGCACTAATTTTTTTTAGTGCTTTTCCATATTTGGATACGTCCTTTTGAAGCCATAATTTCTCTGACTTTAGTAAAGGGTATCACGTACGTGAAGAATTCAAAGGTGTAAGCTTATCAATATGGTGACGATAAGAGCATGGTCACTTGGTAAAGCCGAGGAACCTTAGTTTGAATGTTAAGAGCAGGACTGACTCAAGGGGATTCCATCCTATAGAACTCTGTTCAAGCTATTCAAGATGAGGCTACATAGAATTACAGAGAATAATACATCTAACCTTTCAACTCAATGAGTATAGCAGTGAAAGTATTAAAAACGCAACAGTGAGTATTCTCCAGATGGAACCGTTCTTGAATTGAGTCGATAATGTCGCACTGACGTTTTAAGTCGGTCTTTCTTGGTATAATGTACAGAATCTTGACGTATTTTAGATGAATCCTTTGGAAGACATTGTTCCTGCTCAGCTGATCCAATTTATTCTTGAATGTGCAGATGTTTTAAGCTTCTGTGATGCTGCAGAGCAATTCGCAAGGGCAGCATGAGAGTTTGCCTGTGAGAGTCTTGCGGCAAAGTTGCTTCTCGCAAACCCTTGCTTTGAAATCGTCTTTTGTCTGAATATGCTAGCTGTCATGTGCAGCAATATTCAACAGCTTGCAAAGGATACAAATGGGCAGAAATTTCATTCAGCAATACGTGCTGTGCATTTGCCAATGTGTGACTCTTAATGGGGAACTCCCATTGGTGCCCACCATCGGCAGAGTTGCCTGGCATAAACTTGTTTGGAATTTCCTCAGTAATGTGCTAGAAAGTTACATTTGGATGTTGATAATTCAATAGCTATTATCAACCGATTGTCCTGCTTTTGGCCAACCATGAAACAATGGTTGTGTTTATTAACGCTGCTAGCCGCAGTTCCTAACCTTTCATGCTTCTCTTCTGCTTCTCAAGCTTCTACTTTACAGCTTGCCACCCTCTTGCCACCATACGTAAACCCCGAACGAGTGGGCATTCCGCCCTTTTACGATCAGTTTAACTCCGAGTCCAAATACGATGAGAGGAATCATGTGCCGATTACAGGAATAACTGACCAAGGTTTGGGTTTAGGTGGCCAGAGTCCACCATTAGTTGAAGTGACCAACCAACATCGCGAGCCAATTCGACCGGAACAGCCGGACCACCGATACAAGCCTCAGCCAGGTACCACCCCTGGCCGGCAGCCGATTACCGATCGAGGTCAGCCAGATTTTACGGGGGGGCCTCATAAGCCTTATCCACCGAGGGTGACCTTGCAGGGAACAGTGGAGGAAACAGGGCAGAATCCTCCGCTCAACCGTGTATTAGTGGTGGACGAGACTCTCCCTCCCCTCCGACTGCGACCCGATCGCAACCAGACCAGCGAGGAGGCACAGCAGTCGAGAACCATCATCTCCTGGAAGCCAGTCACTGTCGCCTCCGAGTACTTGGTGTCCTGCCATCCCGTGGGCCGTGAAGAAGATTTGTACCAGGTAATTTAATAGAATGTAACACCGGTCCTTACACAATGTAATATACACAAGCTGAAGCTAGAATTGTTTCCTTGCATATTGAGCAAGGCATTAGTTATGCTCTACAGTGTGGTGGGTAACCCCCCCCCACCCCCATAGTGAGACAGAAATATTCACAAGAGCTTTCTGCCTTATGTCCTTCAGATTTTTTTATTTATGGGGTTGGTAGTACATGAACCTTGGCTGTTGTTCCCATCTCCTACCCAGGAGGCTGAGGCTAATTATAGCATCTCAACTCGTGCTCCAGCTGAGATCAGGGAACACGGCAGAAGCTATGAATTGTTTCGGTCTTTATTTTGTGGTCAACTGGTGACTTTGACATATGCAGACACCCATCATCATGCTTAAGAGTGTCCAAACCCAGCTCAGCGTTCCACATATGTTCAACACTACACATGCATACTTCCCTGTGCCTGGAATGGAATGTGCACTCTTATCTCTGGAGAGTCACACCCTGTTTACCAAAATCTAGTGAATATTAGGCACAGATTGACGAAAGCCAAGGCTTCTGTATTCTAGATCATGCATTGGGGTGACTGCTGGAGTTTTAACTGGATAAAACAACATGGCTTGCCATTGAGAGCACTGTCTTGACAAGCTTGTACAGCTGGAATCACTGTAGTGGTTAGGGCTTCGGCTCGCATGGTTAACAGGAGCCAAATCCCTGTCCCAGTAAACCTACGACTTTCTGGTCTGTAGGACTTTGTAACATTCTCTGATTTCTACAATGTTCATTTTTCAGAAATTTTCTTGTAGGTATTTGACAAAGAACTATTTTCATAAGCAGGGCTTCAGAAGGCCCTGCTATGGATTGATTGTTTGTCAGCAATAATGCATGGAAGGTGAATGGGATTGAAGGTGCATAGTTTTATCCAACATTGTCTGCCTTACAGTTCAGAGTACCAGGAACTTCAACTCGAGCAGTACTGACCGGGTTGTCCTCAGGGTCACAGTACAATATTATTGTAGAAGCTTTGAAAGGGCATTTGAGACAAAAAATTCTGGAAGAAATCATCACTGGAGGCGATTCTTGTAAGTATTCATTTTTTTATATTGATAGTCTAGCCTGTCTGGCCAAAACTGTCTTCCTCCCTCACCAGCTCTACTAATACAAGGAGATGCGGCAATGAGTAGTGGAAGAAGTTTTCCTATGTTCCCGAGGCTCCATGACGCAAAGGAAAAGTCTGATTCATACGGAAACCTGGATCCAATGTTAATTTTTATCCTGTTTCATAAACTCAATATATTTTACAGTCTGACTGTTTGTCAGTCACTGCAGCCAGGCTGGCCATAGAGACTACAAGAACCAGCCAATCTGCCTGCTTCTCTCCCTCCACCCACCACCCCACCCTCACCATCCTTTCCCCACCCGTGTCCCACAGCCTCCATCCGCATTATTGCTCCTCATTCACTTCTTCCACGTCTCAGTGCTGGCGTTTCAAAGTTGGCCTTCCACAAGGTCTTTTCCTGGCTGGGACCAGTTCCATTACCTCCGGAGGGCAGGATTGCCAAACATGCTGTAATACACGCTTGTTAATTGCAGGCAGGACATTTCCAACACTTTTGTCTGTGACATTCGCTTGTGGCACACCTCCCTTTCCCCCTCCCCTTGGTACCTTTACTCTGTTGTAACAAAGTTTACTCTGACTTTGCTCCTCACCTCGGAGAGGGTTTAAATCTTCAGGGTTTAATGTCCCAAGGTCTCACCACATTACTGCCCTGTTCTTTTGTTGCATGAGAACAGTAACATTTGGAATAGATTGACTTATCCTGTACATTTCCATTAAAATTCTGGCAGCTCAAGTCTCCCGGCCTTGAGACAATGCAGCAAGCCAACTTTCTGTCCCCGGAACAACTGTGATCCAACTGCTCCCACCCTGTATAGTCAGCCTGCTTTCCTGTGCAGCAATTTTCTCCTCGTGCCAGAAGCCTGGAAATTGACACCTTTAAAACCAGTGATTGCTTCAGGGTAAATCAGGATATAACCAAGTACAGGCCAGCCTTGTTGTAACATGGTAGTTTGGTCGTAAACTCAAACCCGTGTGATAACGGAAAGTGCTCCACTCTAAAAATGGTCAACACTTCCAGGTTAACAGATTGACATTGATGTCACCTTCTGATCATGTAGGTGCACAAAGCGCTGGCAATTGCTCCTGCGAGCATTTCTACTTGGCTTACTGTAAACTGCATCCTTACGACCTTACAACCGGTTCCTTTGGTTGCTGGAACATTGCTAGACGCCAGGACACGGTGTCCCTGTGTACAATGTCCAGAAAGCTGGGCAGGCAGCACGAGGAGCCAGAAGTGTACCACAAGTCTGGGATACCGCAAGGCCCGTGGAATTATAACGAGTTGGCCTGTAAATTGATGCTTTTGCAATTGCCGCACGATAGACCCTAGTGTGCACTAATTCACTCTCGTCCACCCTCCCTCACCTCTCCAGCCCCATAGAATAGAACATTCACAAGGAAAGGTAAGAGGAGCCTGTACATCATTGGTGGGGTTCGCAAGGCAGTGTTTGCATTGGCCGCATTTCATACAACTCTCAGTTGATCCTGTTGAAAGTCAAAGGCTGAGGTGGACTTCAGTCAGTTTGGAAAGGCACTTGTGTGATTTAGTTGAATTTGCAAAGGAACCCTGCGTTCCTTACTACACCATAAAAAGAGGCACTATATGTGCCTTTCAATGTGTCTACTTCTCTTGAGTGAAATGCTTTCACTAAAACACTCTGTGCGAGCGAGCGTACATTGTGGAAAGCCAAATATTTAGTAGACGTTCTACTGCCTTGCTGTTGTCGTTGCTGCAAGGAAGCGGTTTACAGTAAGCCAGTTATTCCTCAGTGAAAATGACTAATTAGGTTAAGTAGCCACAAGAGCAATGGTGAGCATCAAGCGATTGATTTAAAATGATCGCATAGCCTAATGTGGAATTCAGGGTCTCCATTTGGTACATGTAGAAGTTTCCCCTTGTGCATTCAGCAACACTTGTTTGTATTTCATTTAAAAGTGCTATGTCAATGGAAATGCCCGAAGGTTGTGTTGATGATTCACAATTCAATAACATGTTTTTCTTCTATGCAACAGCTTCTGAAGAGTTGTCTCCCGGCTCCAGCATGGAAGACTCCTGCTATGACAGTGCCACTGGCTCCTACTACACAGTGGGCCAGGAGTGGGAACGCATGTCTGAAACTGGCTTCAAACTTTGGTGCAAATGCTTAGGCTATGGAAGTGGTCATTTCAGATGTGATTCATCCAGTGAGTAGTTTGCTGGGATTCACCCCATTTTTTTTTACACAAGAGTGCCTGGCCATGTTTGAAAGTGTTTCCGCTGCGCAGATTGCCGAAATGTGCAAACATGGGCGAGGCACTGGATATGCGTGAGTGTATTCATGTGGAATGAAAATGTGCTTGCATTGGACCCGTAAAGGTTCTTGGTCAATGCAAGCTTTTAAGCCTCCCGTCCTCAGACTGTAGCTCCATTGTGTCAAGCGACTCTGCAATGAGCTGAGATGACCACTTGACATGCGACCTTAATGGTCACATGGGAAATATCTTGCGTCTACAGCTTGAAAAAAAAAGGGCCATGTCAAATCCATCCCAACGATCCGCTGGTTCTCATACAAGCCTTGTGTGAGGAGCAATTCAAGCTATTCCTAGATTGTTCAATGCGTTGATAGAAATTACGGAAATTACGAGTCCATCAAATCTATACTGGTACGAGCTACTCTCAATTACAACTATTATAAAGGGAAGCTACAGTGATATGTTACAAAGGGGACATTATAGAGCTACATAATATCTTAAATGTGTTTGAAAAATTAATCCCAGAAAAACATTTTCGCAACTACACCGAGACAGCAGGACTAGACGACAACAGATTTAGGTTAATTTCAGGATAGATACAAGGAAATAGTTCTGGAACCAAATTCTCTTCTCACTCCTCCCAGGCCCCCCACTCTCACCCTCTCTTCCTAAGCTGGTGTGTAAGAATTAGATCAATTATTCCAACCCCCCTCCCCACCTCTCTCCCTGAACAAGCAGCATTCTGTATAACGATGCTGTCAAATTCTTACACTCAAAATTCGCTTTGAAGATGGTTTTCTGTCAAGAATTGATAGAAAAATAGTAGAAAAACAGCATCAAAGACAGAAAAACAGGCGTCAAAAAACCCAACAAAAACTGAGACTGAATTATTAAAAAAAAAAGGACAACTGCTGGCAAAACAGCCTTGGACCCAGTCTCCCCTATGCCCCATATAGACTTTTTGTCTATATTTCAACATATCTGTGCATTCCATTATTTCAGGTTTTGGAGCTGGGGGAGTAAAGGGGGGTGGGGCGGTGGGGGGGTTAGAAGAGCTTGGGGAATGCAGGAACTAACCACTAATGTGGCAGCAACATGTGTTTGAAATTAGTTGCCAAATATGGGAAAAATTATACCATTTTGTCCAACAGTCTTGCAAAATGATTGCTTCAGGCTATACTGGCTACATTTGCCATGAAAACGGTCCAACATGCTGAAAGCAAGTCTTGTGATTATTAGATTCATCCTGGGGGAGGGGGGAAGAGGAAAAAAATATGTGTGGGGGAAGGGGAGGATCTCTGTTAGACAATACAATTTACATTTAGATAGCGCCTTTCATGTCAGGAGGACATTCCAGAGTACTTGACTATCCTGGCTGAGGGTGGGAGCTTGCGGGAGGGAAGGGGGTGTGGGGAGAGCAGGAAAGGTGGCCGAAAGCACGGTCAAAAAGGACATTTTCAAAGGTATCTTGAAAGAAGGGAGGGAGTGAATGAGTCGGAAGGACCTGGGAATGGAGTTGAAAACTAATGCAGATAGTATACAATTTTACATGTCTGGGCTATAATGAGCTGATCTGAATACTGCAAATGTTTTCTGTGTTGGGTTTCACTGGAGGTCTTGAGTTCTCCACAATGTTCTACTGTTTATAAAACATGTGTTTCTTTTGTTTTTTTTTAAAAAAACTTCCCATGAGGAATGTGTTACAGTGGTCAGGAAAAGTATTCCTGGGTGTCTTATTTCAGATGCCCAGGAATAATTTTGACAGAATTTCAGCCATAATTTGATTGTTAAAGCAATAAAAACTGGCACTCGGGGCAGCTTCTGGATGTTTCGATGTCAAAATTCAAGGCTATTCCCTCATTCCCTAACCCCAATGCACAACAATCTCTGCGACCTTGCCATGGGACAGCTATATTGGAAGGTGGGTGATACAATGTCAAAGTAAATGACGGAGGACATCACTTCACCGGACCTGGAAATGATCATTTGCTTTATGGCTGAGATGAAATCAGTACCCGTGCTCACTTCAATGGCTAAACTGTGGGCTGTTCTTCTCTCTTTCCTTGTGCAGAGTGGTGCCACGACAATGGCATGAACTACAAGGTGGGTGAGAAGTGGAATCGTCAAAGTGAGATGGGTCAGATGGTCAGCTGCACTTGCCTGGGCAATGGGAAGGGAGAGTACTCATGCGAGCCTCGTAAGTGGATCAATAGTTAACCTCCCTTCCACCCCCTACCTTCTGGCGCTGCAAGATGTTGAAGGGAATGCCCTGGGACGAGCTCCCGATGTGAAAGCCGCTATGTAGAGGCACAATTTTTTGTTGTTGTTGACGACCGAGGCAACTAAACCCTTATTATTTTAGCCTTTTGCGGTAGTCACTCTCTGGAACTCCATCCCACAGTCCCTCCGCCTTGCCCCCTCCCTTGTCTCCTTCAAGACCCTCCTCTTCGAACATGCCTTTCGTCACCCTTCTCCCCTACCCTTGACCCCTCCTGACTCCAACCAGCAGCTCGGGTGTGGATCCCTGACTGTCCAGCGTCTTGGGCCGTACTAACATGAAAGGCACTATACAAACGTAATTTGTTGTTGTTATCCATTTGCACAAGGACTCGCACAAACTGCGGAGACCTGGAGCAAAGGTTTCAGCTGGTTGAATTTCAGTGTTGCCCCGCTTCCCCAAACCTTGGCTCTTACCAACTTGCACTTAATACATCTTGCTTATACAAGGTTAACGCCCTGCCCACCAATCGCTTCCTGTCTTCAGTAGCACTAGTGAGTAGTACGTGAAACAAACCCAGAGGTGCTTGTTTCAAAGTCGCAAGAGCTCCTGTTATTTTGTTTTTTTTAACACTCTTGGGATCCTCATGTGACTTGTATCTTCTGCTCCCAGATGAAGCCACATGTTACGATGAAGGAAACCTGTACAATGTAGGCGAACAGTGGCAGAAGGAGTACCTCGGGACCATCTGCACTTGCACGTGTCTTGGAGGACGACAGGTACATTGATAGTTTGGAGATTTGTTGATCTGTAACCTTTCTTACTCCCAAGCGAACGGTTTGCAGGGTTGTCGGAAGTATCTCAGGGGAGCATTCTTCTTTCATTAAAGTATCCGCAGTAAACTTACGGTGGTGATTTAAGTTGAGAACAACTGCCAGGGTTAACTTTTAACTGTAATATTTAATGCTCGCTGGGAGTCACTCACACTTCCCTGAAGGACTGTTCACCTATGAATTAAATGGGAGGAACCGCATGGTAGGTGGCAAATTCCATGGGAATTCCTTTGTTGCAAAAAAAACAGGAGTACGTCATGACAATTGATTTCAACCGCCACTGTGACTTGAGGGCTCTTCCCGCGGGGCAGCATGACATGCATAATGAACGAGGAGGAGTCAACACTTGGATTCCTTGTCCAGGAATCCCCTTCCAAACCTCCCACATATTGGATCATAATGAAACTTTTGACTCTACCGAGTGCTGGGTTTTCAATCAAACCTGCGTGTGATGGGCAGCAAAGTCTCTTCCGGTGGCTGCGAGGTTTTGAAGTAAAACTTATTCAGATGGTTTAACTCGGGAGTAAGATACCAGGGTGGGAAGCAAAGTATCTATCTAAAGTGCGAAGAGGCCAGAGAGCGAAACACCATCTCCTGCCGGCCGTCTCATCTCATTCTCAACACCTCAGCATTCTAGCCTGAGCCTTGGACAGGCCTGGAGGATATGATACGCAAGTTGAATGGGGCGGAATTGTGTGGTAACGCTGATTTCTTCTCTCCCTCTTACAGGCTTGGAGCTGTGAGAATTGCCGCAATCCTAATGTGGATAGCTTGGTGGACAGCACCCACTCTCAGTCTTCAGAGTCTCTGAACCGAAGGCCCAAACTGTTTCCATCAACAGTGGGAACGAGAGGATACGTGGTTATAAATGTACGAAATCAAAACTATTTGATACTTCAGTGATTTAGAGACAGACATCTCCATGCTTTTAGCAAGGACTCGCATCCGGTTTCACAAATCATCAACATCTTCACAAGTGTCTCAGGCATTCAATGTCCTCATAATGCATCACTGTGTAGATACCTCGGGCATAATCCGTCTAAAATATACCTCCACCCCCCCACCTCCATCCCCATAACCACCTTAAAAGAAAAATGCTCAAAATTGGCTAGAAAATAAGAAAAATTATCCTGACCCGTTTTGAAAATATTCAGCGTCGCATGGAGAGCTTAACATCTGGATGTTTTTATGGCTGTTGTGGAAGATTGCTGTGCGCAAATTGGCTGCAGCTTTTGCTCACAAATACTCGTCTTCTACATTTTAGAGTTAAAATCTTGTGAAGCGCTTTGAAATGTCTCTTAATGTGTAAAGGCGCTGTATTAAGTGCAGGGATTATGATTATTATTATAAGGGATACCTCAGGAATCATCTGTCCTTATATACACACAGACACACCGCACACCAAGAAAAAAAATCAGTTGTGTAAAATTTATAGTGACGGTTTAAATGACTGAAGACCTTGCAATTTTTTTACCCTCGAAAGAAAAACCATTCATGTACACTGGGTGGGCTTCTGACCAGTCCTCGAAGCCACTATATGGTGTTGCAAAATTCTTACTTAACATTCTGTCAAAACTGGATAGAACAAATTGGTTACCGTTCTCAAAAAAGGTTGCTCGGTGTTTCTTAGCACATTGTCAAAGATTACAATACAAAAGTACATTTGTACATGTTGGGCAGACGTCCCAAGGAGCTAGACAATCAGGGATGTGGACCCAAGCTTGGGGGTCGGGATCAGGGAGGGTAGGAGGGTGACCAAAGGCACAGTCTCAAATTTCCAAACGCTTCTTCTGATCACTTACTTTTCTTTTGCAGCAAATCCAATGCCCCATCGAGTGCCTCGAGCCGAACGATCAGAGGGCTGAGGGGGAATAAGAATCTTGAAAGCACTGAAGTGACAGCCGAACTGCTGCGCTGCTAACTAAACACCAAATCTATCGAGCTTCCAGATCGTGTCTGCCTGTGTGTGTTTGTGCGCGAGCTTGCGTGTGGAGAGAAACAAGAGAGAGAATGCATGCACCCAAATACCTTTTGCCAGCTTCAGCACAGCTCCCTGTCACAGCCTCCCTCCCAGCGTTTAGAGTTCGACAGGCTGTCAGCTGAAGGCTTTAGTGACTGGGTTTAAATTACTGAAGACCTTGCAAATTTTTTTTTCCTTGAAACACCATTCAGTATTACAATCCCAACCCAAATGCATAGGGTCCCACTTGAGAGAGAACCCCTTCTGAGACTACTCAGTTCTCCCTCCCCAGTCCCCACGTCTATTGTAATGTACAATGAGTTAAATGATCAGCACTGCTGTTAATTTTCAGAAATGCACACTTTTCTACACGATAACCTACAAACAGCATCAGGACTAACTTGAGTGTTTACAGTGATTGATGTAATTTTATAGCTGTAAGGAGCTGTTATTTATCAAAACTTTTCTTTCCATGCAGTGTTTTTTTTTTACCAAACCTTTTTTTATACTGTACACAAACTCAAAACAAAGGGTGAAATTTGGCAACTTTTTTGGGGGTATAATTTACACGATTGGTGATGGGCCTGTTTACAGACGCCAAAGCTTTCTGCTGTGGACAGCCAATTCTGGTTTTAATAAAGATACTTTTTTTTAAACCCTTACAACGATGTCCTGTGTGTGTTTCACTGCCAAAGAACACAATTTGCATTTATACACCGATTTGCTTTTTAACGCCGGGAGCAGACCTCAAAACTCCTCACTATTGGGAGCCTGATCTGCTCAGGAAAGGTGGGAGGGGGAGTAATCGGAAGCATGATCGAAAAGATAGATTTCTAAGTTCGGGCTGCAAACTTGCAAGGAGGGGGGACTCCCAAGATGGGAGATACAGAGATTGGAGACAGAATGCTTGCTCCCCAACAATAGGGCACAAAGCAACCTGGTGTTTGCCGAGCAGAGGTGGTGGCCAGGACAGTACAGAGGGAATTCCTCTCCCCGCACCTCCCACAAATCCCAGGGTTCACTTCCGTGCCCAACAGCTACCCCTTCATTCCCGATGTTCCTGCTTCCTAAAAGTTTCGAAAGAATGGGAAGCGAAAAGGGATAGAGAGGATTGCTGTGTTAACTTTTATTTTTAAAGGGATTTAGCCTGTTTTTCAAACAAAAAAACACTTTTAGATGGAAAAGACCAAGTCATGGGAATGCGACAAACACAAGTGTCTTGTAAGTACAATTGTAACCATATCGATCGACATCAATAGTGCGTCCGCTTTGTAAGTAACATGTGCTCAGTCGCTCGCTCTCAGTGATGGAAGAGCCGTTTTTTGGTATGAACCAGAGTAATACCCAATTCCTCACACGCCTCTGCCACTATTTGGTCGGCGACTGATCCAGGAGGTGCTGCAATGAATTCTACTCCACTCTAGTTAGGGAGGACGGGAGAGAGAGAAAAATACAATTCAGAAAAAAACAAGCTTAAAAGCTTGAAGATGCATCAAGTCCAAAGATATACGTTGCGGTTGGCATTACTGCCTTAGACGACAGGTTGCTCAGCATCAAAGGATGTAAGCCTCAATGGAATTTGTTCTGCAAATGTGGGTCGATAAAATTGGCTTCATAACAGTTTGTGGGACATTACTGTGTCGGTTGCTGCATTTGCCTATAAACAGTCACTACATTTTGCAATAAATGCTATGAAGCGCATTGGGATGCTTCAACAATATAAGGAACTTTTATTGAATGGAATAATATTAAAAATCCTTAATTTGATATCACACCTTATCACATCACTGAGACCTCTCAAAGCACTTCAAAGGATATACTGTAAAGTGGAGTGACTTTGTATTTTCTGGGTGAAAGCCAGTTTCACACAGCAATACAGCACAAACAGTGTGAGTGACCCAATTTGATTTGGGGGAAGGTTGATTATTATTAGCGGGACAATTTTAGGACCAATTTGACTTTGTTTGCGCAAAATTGTGAAAACCTAAATTCAGACTTGATCTGGAAGTCTAGTTTTCTGCAGTTCTAATTTTTTAAGATAAAATTTTACTGACTGGTTGTAAACAATCTTTTTAAGATAAAATGGTCATTCAGGCAAAGCATTGGGCACTTTTTATTGGTAGCTCCACATCAATAGCACGGTAAAACATTTAGCACAAGATAAGCAATGATTCCATGTGGACAAGCTGGGCTGAATAGCCTGTGTCTACACTGTACAGTTTCTGTGTCACAATAAGTTACCAGCCAGATTCAGCACAGCACCACCTGTAACGAAATCTCTCAAGGTCAACACCAATCTTTATATAAAGATCTCAGTAACAACCAACCTTGTATGGCTCACTACCACAGCATAAAGCGCCAATACAACACTAACCTTCTTGGCTCGGTCCACATTATCACGGAATGGGAAGAAAGCATCTGAGCTCAAAGCAACTGCCTTCAGCTGGGAAATCCAGTTCTTCCGCTCGGTATCCGAGAGGAGCTCTGGCACCTCCACAAACATTTGCTGCCATTTGGCAAAGTCCTCCTCCTAACCGGTCAGAAAGAAAACACAATTGTTTACCTGCAGAACTGTAGCATGGCCAGGGGTTACGAGTCTCCAAAACAGTTACGCAATGAGTCGGGATTGAGAGCTGCAACCTTTCGAACGTTACAAAACTAAAGCAGTGTCGAATGTCATTTCTGAGCTGCTGCTCGGTTTCCAAGCATCAAACCATTTTACAAAGGAAGCAGCCTCAGCCAGGAATAAGTCACCAGCCTTGTTAGTCTGAATTTTAATAAATAGAGGAACAGATTAGCAGATGCTGGATGTACTACCACTTGCTCTTAACCGCTAAGGCTACTTTATCTTAAAATTTAAGTTCATGGGTAAAGTCGCTCTCGATTCTGAAGAACAGTGGAAGATCCAGCTTCCAAATTAACAGCAAATTTAAGAATGTGGGTCATCTAGTTCACCTCACCCCACATCAGGGTTTTGAGCTTTTCTAGCCTGACATTCCTGTGCAGTGCCTGGGAAATGTTGGATTGTTAGAGATGCGATCGTTCAAGTGAGACATGAAATCTCTCTCCTTGTTCAGGTCGCTGTCAAAGATTCCATTGCTCTATTTAAAAAGAGAAGGGAGTTTCTCCCAGTGTCCTGGCTAACAATCCTCTCAGTTAAAATTGGTCATTCGCTCAATAACTGCTTGTGGGACGTGGTTATGTGAAAATTGGCGGCCTCCTTTGCCTATAAAATAGAGTCAACCCAATTTGCATTAAATATTGTGAATCGTTTTGAGACGTCCTCCCGATGTGAAAGGCGCTGCATCAAATGTAGAGGAGGATTATTAATATTCTGTTGACACTAGGTGGATTTTCAGGCCTCCGAGCAGCGAGTGTCATGCTATAGAGGCGACCACACCTCTGCTCTATTCCAGGTTACCTCCATCGGCCCACCGACATATTGATCGATAGCGTTTGAAATCTCTGCTCGTTTGGTGCCTGGTTTGAACTTCATGGACAGCACCTTTGGATGGTGTCGAAGCCACCAGTGGTTGGCCTTGTCCCCGGCGAGTCTGGTGCAGTGGATACGGGACTGTTGGCCGGCACCAATGCCAACCACCTGCAATTAAAGGGCAAAACAAGGAAACCTAGAACTTCATTCACTCTTACAACACAAGCTTCAAACCGAGAATGCGGTCTGAAACTCCGATCGGAGACTAGTAAACACACGTTTTTAATCTCCCCCCACACCGAGAGATTTTCAGGGCCATTTCTTATGTCAAAATACGAAAAATTCACCCTCCACCCCAAGTAATTCAGCCCAGTTATATCAAATTAAACGTAAGGATTTTTATTGTTAAATACAGTATAACACAATGCCTCTAATATCATTTACTGGTTTAAAGGACAACACACAGAAGTGAATCATTAGTTTGTACAACCTACCTGTCCATCCTTTGCGTAACACACTGAGTTGGACTGTGTGTATTTAACAGCAATGCTGGCTACAATAAGGTCCCGAATGGCAGACTCGGGAAGCTGCGGAAAGAAAAAAAATGTTAAACATACGGGACTCTTTGCCAGTATCTAGTAACCAGGTAAAAATACCAGGATGAAGAAACACCATCAGTATTGGCCACATTTCTGTGTTCCTCATCCATGTTTAGAGGCTCAAAGTTACAACAACATTTGCGAAGGAGCTGGAGTGTGCTAGAGATCAGATCTAAAAATAGATCGGAACTGGGCCATGACATTTTGTGATGAATACTGAACTGTGTCCTAGGAAATGCTTTCCGTCTCACTCTGGGCATCAAACCCAATGCATACACTACAACCTCCCTTCCTACAAGTTTTAACTCACATAAGTGAATAAAAATAAACAGTAAGGCAGTAAACAACATTGCTCGATTACAGTCTAAAGTCTGGATCCTCTCTCAGATCCTGTTTATTGACTGTCCCTAACAGCCACAAATTACCATTCCTAGCGACGATTTGCATTGCTCACATTCCTGATCAGCTATAGGGTAAACACAATGTGTGTTTTCTCCTGCAATACCCCACAAAAGGAGCTTGTTCTTTACGCTAAGCACACGTGAAAGATAAGTTATGGAAAAGCATTGAAAATTCACACTAATAAGAGCACAGCACATTTACCTATTGTACATCATTTACTGTAATGTGTAGGACTATTTTGCAAGATAACAAATTTGCATACAGCATTGTCCCTTAAGCAAACTGCCTTGAAGTGATGTTACATTGTTCCCTATATATTATAGGGGTGGGGGGAAGAAGAGAGAAAACAGAGAAATAAAGGTGGGGGGAGGAGGAAGAATGTCATTTCTGACATAACAATAGTAATAATACGTGAATATGATATAGCACCTTTTCACATCGTTGAGATGTCTCAAAGTAATTCACTGAATATATTGTAAAGTGAATTGACTGTGTATTTTGTGGACAAAACACAACAGTCCATTGCGCACAGCAGTGTCCCAAACAGTTGTGGATGGAAAAAGATTATTACCCCTGGAAAGCAATCTACTAATCGACTAGCAACCAGGTTCCTACTTACTGCTAGCTAAACACAGGCGAGTGGAATAAGGAAATTTGCCTAAGATTTCGCCCCGCCTGGGAATCAAACCTGGGTCATCTTGTCTGTGAGGCGAGCGTGCTAATCACTAAGCTATGGGACTCCACATCGTATTTTACAGGATATTACGTCTGCCAATATCTGTTATAGAGTCCAGACTATCATCGACCTGAGCTGTCAGTATTTTACATGATCAGGGAACTCGAATAGGAGCATCTCCGGATCAGAGAAGAGTGGCAGATAGACTGGAAGATTCTACATAAATTCCATTACATACTGTGGCATCGAGGCTCGCCTGGGATTTAGAACATTTAATTCAAAATAGAAACCTAACTCGCTGAACCATTCAGCTTGTTAATGAATAGATAATGCTGGACTAGACTCACATCCTTTGACTTGGTGACTACGTTTTCAAAGAACGAGCGATCAATCATCGCATCATTCCTCTTCTGCATCAAGTGTAATCCGAAAATAGTCCGCATTTCAAGCTTGTCTGGTTCATATTCCGGATCCATCTGCAGGAAAAATACATCAGTAAAACGAGTTCCCACCTCTTAAAACATTTTACAGGATTTTACTGTGAAGTGTAGCGACTCCCCAACCCACGACCCGCTGCTTCCGTTCGACTGGCAACGGCCTCCTGCAAATCCCTCGTGCCCTCCGTTCCATCATTGGTGGCTGCACTTTCAGCCACTACGTCCTGAAACTGTGAAACACTTCCTCTATCCCTCCACTTGCCCCTTCCTTCCCCATCTTCAGGTCGCACCTGAAGACCTTCCTATTTTACAGTGCCTACTGTCACCTTCTCCCCTCTCCCTGGCTCGGCGTCAAGCTCCACCACAGTCAAGCGCTCTGGGATGTTACCCTGCATTGTAAAAAGCTGTAAAAATGCAAGCCATTGTTGTCGTTGTTGAAGTGGCCCCCTTAATTGCAGTACTGATAGGCACGTGGGAACAGAGTAACTGATCAACCTCAGAGAGGGTCAAAAATAGAACCGAGACGATGATATACAGACACCAATCCAAACACCAGCAGCAAGCACCAAGACTGACATATACCTGCAAGACACAATAGCTGCCACTTTTCTTTTTGGACAGGATTTCCAAGGCTTCCTCGTCGTACCCAGGAGCAATAATTCCATCAGACACCTGGAATTGAAGGAGAGGGCAATTGGTGTTTTTCTTCAGTCCTTTTATTGGTGAAGTGCAGTCATTTGAAATTCCAGCATTGATGAAACAGCTCAGCTAACGGCAGAGATAAAATCCAGAGGCTACAGCCAACCCACTCCAGCTGTATCCTTCACACACTCCAGCTCATCCACAATGCAGACCCGCACTCTCTTGCTAGTCCCCACCTGCTCCCCGAGTCTCGGAAGAGTGCATTCACATCCTCATCTCTTTGTTTCACATTCCCCTAAGCCCTTGTTCCAGACTGTGTGTGGGTGCCAGTCAGTGAGTGAGCAGACCAGAATCCTCCCACTCTCAGCTGACATGTCTTGTCACTTCATTACTTGCCTCTCTGGAGATGATCTTGGCAGTCTGAACATCACAGCTATCAGAGATAGCGATGAAGTCACCAAAAGAAGACATCCTGTCAGCACCTGAGGACAAAAAACACAGCACAGGGGATGCCAGCTGTATAAAACACATTTCCCATTTCTAGGAGCAGGCATCATGGCAGAGCAAACAACCTTATAAAGCAGCAGCAATAATGCGTTCACCAAGCTCGTTCTCAATTGACCGCATACACAAAGCAATGGGATTGTGCCAAGCACCAATTCGGGATGAAAAAGGAAAGGTTCAGATGAGACAGAGAGAAAAAAAACAGCATTGAATTGCTCCAGTACAACAGTGGAAGAGTTTCTGCCACTTCATTAAAGTTCCTGAGACCTCTGGGAGTCTGACTCCCAAACGATCACTTGAAACATTACCAGGTCAGCAGTCTCCTCCAAATCATTCAACAACCATCAATATACATGTCCAATTTCAAATGGTGACTGGGAATCTAATGGTTTTAGCCTTAAGACCACCGTCTTGGGAGTTTAAAGTCGTGCAATGCAGGAATGTTGAAAATTCTTTAAAAAAAACAATTCTATTTGGAAGCCGATTTTCATAAAAAGCACAGCCATAAATTGTAAGGCAATGATCTAAGACTATGAAGACCATAAAGTGTTTCTGAATCCTAAGCATTCTTTAATCCGAGTTTTAATCAAAACAAAGACTCACAAATTTATTAAAAAAAAGCACAGGTCGCAAATTTTGTCTGAGAGTCTCGTGCACTTGCACACAAAACATACAGTCAATTCACTTTACAGTATATTCTGTGAAACACTTTGAGCTGTCTCGAAGACGTGATAAGGCGCTATATCAAATGCAAGGGTTATTATTACATTATAGGTACTTACCTCTGGCTCTTGCGTATGCTATAGCCAGGGGTGTGAGATCACTGAATTTGTCATGCACCATGCAGACCATGGCTTCGTCCTCAGTCAGTGGTACACCAACAGCAGCACCTAGAGGCAGAGTGTTAACAGGGCAGCTCACAAACAGGACCAGATATCAAAGGGCAATTTCTTCCGAATGCAACTCACATCTCGGCAGTGTTACAATTTTTAAAGGCATTTGCTCATCTTTGAAAAATTAAGATACATTTTATGTTAAAAACAATTGAGGATGGCAATTAATATAAGTTTTCTTACACGTTTATCTCAGGAAATAATGCCTAAATGTATACTAGAGCAGCCCTGGACATTAAAGATACTATTACAAGTGCTCTGTGCGTGCGAGTGTCTTACCAGCAGGGCTAACGTGCTTGAAGGAAGCAGCGGCAGGAAGGCCCAGAGCACCCTTCAGTTCTTTCACAAGCTGCCAGGCATTCAACGCATCACAGAGGTTGATGAATCCAGGGGAGCCGTTCAAAACTGCAGAGCGAAGAGGGAGGAAAAATAAGCGTAGGAACAAGAATAGGTTCCCTCTCCCGTCCCCCCAACCACCCCATACAGGGCTGACAGTCCATACCTAAAGCACACTTGCTATTGCTCCTAACCCACCAATTGTTTATAACTTCATCAAGATCAAAGATCTTCATTAAGATCTGACGGGTGGGAGGGCGAAGGGGCTAAAATAGAGTATTCACAACAAGATTTGCAAACCATTTGTGAAGATAAACAGCAGATACGAGTCCCTCTCCACACCACTTCCCATTCGATCTCCTGAGCAGAAGGATATTTGGAAAGGAACCAGGAAGCTCAGGAACAGAGTTCTGGTCAGTGGCATGAAGTACATCAAATTGTCAGCAGGATTTACGAGCCCTTTGTAAAAACCGCATTTTAGCCCCAGAATTGCTCAAATCTAATGACCTAGATCACGTCCTCCTACAAATTACATGGTCACTACACTTCACAATACATCCTGTGGAGGACTTTGTGATGTCCTCCCGACGTGATGGGTGCTTTGTCAAATTAAAGGATTATTATAATAAATTATACAAATACAGATTAGCATTGCTGTCACCTTTAATTGGGAGTTTGGGTCTCATGGTGTAGATCTGTGCAGGAGCCTGGTGAGGATTCATTCCATATCTCAGAGGAAGCTGGGACTCTCCCTGGCTGTATTCCTTCCTGAAGTAGTCTGAAATGGCCCTATCATATTGTGCTGTGTGAGTGAAAGCCTAGAGGGAGAGAGGGAGAGGAGGAGGAAGAGAACAGTCAATAAAGTCGACAAGAATAGAAATTCTGCCACCATACAACAGTGGGGATATCACAATGTGTGAATGTTATGCTGCAATGTTGTAAAAACAGTGGGTTTTCAAGTTACGTATTGGATGGTTTTACAGATTGTAAACCCTGCTCAGCACTCCAGTCCAAACACACCAAACTGAACATTGGAAGCTCAACAATTATATGACTGAACATCCAACAGCCCACCTGTATGGCACAAAGTGCACTGACCAACTGAGCCATTGGGATAATCGAGAGGACAAGTGGATGAAAACAGATTAGTTATACAGCTACACTGTACCTTCAACGCCAGGGACTTCCTGGTTTCCACCGAAGTGTCCTTTGCCTCAGATTTCTCCATTTCTCCAGCGACCAAGGAGTAGTCTTGAGGATCGCACACTACGGTCACTCGCATATGGTTCTTAGCTGCAGCACGCAGCAGTGTCACTCCACCTTTGGGAACAGGAACACAGAGGGGAGACCATGTCATGCAGAATTGCTCAACAGAACCACAGGAAAACAGACCACAATAGCATTGTCCAGTGTAGGAAACCTTCTCAACACATTTTCTGGGCCTCGAAATAAAGGAAACTTACAAAAATACCAACCGCACAGAAAGGGTGTAGATTTTGTACCAGACTTAATGACCTCACAAATTGATGCATCTTAAACTCCCCCTTATCAATTATCTGTATTCTCTGTTAAGGGGATAGTGATATTATAGACTGAAGCCCAGCAAATACACAGGCTTGAGTATCAATCACTCTTTAGAGTTATCGAAAACACTGGGAACTTGTGCTCTGATGAAAGAAAAGCCTCTGACAGTGTTAAACCTCGAAGCAGCCCTGAACATACCGATATCAATCTTTTCCACTGCCTCAGCCACGGTGACATTTGAACCAGACACTGTTTCCACGAAAGGGTACAAGTTACAAACCACAACTCTGCAGGAGGGAGGGAAACACAAACGTTTTATTGTCAATAACGATAATACTTACATTTGCAATACCACCTCACTTTGGTTAAATGTCTCAATGCAGGATTTTACTGTAAATTGGAGAGATGATATTTTATAGGCTAATGAGGCACAGAAATGTCCCATAAACAGCTGTGAAGTGAGTGGCCAATTTTATCTGGGGAATTGTGAGCCACGACATCAGGAGAAACTTCCATCTCTTTTTTGAAAAGATCACTGCAGTGTCAGCCTAGACTATATGAGTTCTAGCTCACAGAGCTGACATGGGGTTTGAACCGACAACCTTCTGACTCAAGAGATGAGAGTGCTAAAAAACTGATATGACAGGGGAAGCGCTGCTGAAGGCAAGCCCGGCTTGACTGTTGACATTCACTTGGTGTGCAGCCTTTCAGCAGACAGTCAATTCTGTGAGCAGGATCTAAGCAAGATCAACACTACCCTCATGGGGCGGAGGGGGGGGGGGGGGGGGGGGTGGGGGGTGGGGGAGGGAGAGATTGTATTGTGCATTTGGTTCGATTACAGTCTTAGAAACCCGAATCTAAATCCATCTCAGGCTAATGGGATGCAATTCTCTCTCCATTTTTGGCATTCTTATGAAATGTGTCAGACGGGATTCAGTGCAGTGCTCCAGAGCACAAGTCAGCTAGCTCATTCACAGACGGTTGGATAGGAAATGGAAATATTCATTCATATGAAAGAGGGTGTAGTCAGACACAGTCTGGGCTGCTAGACTTAGTCCACGATGCGTTAGGCAAATGCAGCAGCTAATTTGCACGCAGCAATGTGCCACAAACAACCATGAAACGAGTGACCAATTTTATCTGGGAGACTGTTGGCCAGACACCGGGAGAAACTTCCTTCCCTTTTCAGATAGTGCCATGGGATATTTAACTTCCACTTGAATAGGCAGACGGGTCCTCGTTTAAAGTCTCATCTGAAGGACAGCACCTTTGACAATGCAACCATGTTCTGGTTTCAGACAGCCATAAGGCACTAGTTGACATGCCTCACAAGAGACTTCTGGTGTTAGAAGAAGTGCTTGGTATTGAGATTGTTGTTACTCATTGAAGGCAACAAATGCCTCGCCTCAGTAGTCAAAAGCTTCGGGTAATTTCCTGATTCAGCAAACCAAGTTTGAAACAGGCAAATGATTTACCAATGGGCCAGGCTAGTTTAACCGTCGTAAACTACGGAAAGCATCTCGCAGCAACTTGTGCATATTCAAAAAGCTTAGCACCAGAATTTTAGCAGCATTTTGGAAGACTCCTGATCTTTGGCGCATTATTCAATGTGTGCAGTAGCCTTGCACCAAGCACATTAGTGAATTTATTAAGGTAAGAAACTATCCTCTTGGGGTTGAGGGTAAGAAGAGGTACAAGTGAGCACATTACAAAGCAGTTCAGATATTGATAGATGACTCAAGCTCCATTCTAAGGGATTAAGAGTGTTCGATCCATTGCTGCTTTGACCTGCTCTTGACTGAATGTACCAAATGTACCCAAAACGCACCACAGCAGAAAACTGCAGAGCAGACTTAAACCTCTGGAGCTCTGGGAAATGTGCTGATGTATCCGCACGGCAATGAGTGTAGTCAAGCATCAGAGATTAAACATCAATTTGGAAAAGTCATGCAATGTGTGCACTAGCCTCGTACACGGCACGCTGGTGAAAATATTAACTTCGTAACATGTGCTCTGATCATTTTTTATTTTTGTACCAATTATGATTTACAGCTCAAGATTATCCAAAACCAATCTCTCCTGCATTGGGCCAGGTTGTTACAATATCATATCAATCTTGTGATCTATATGTATTATAGTGATCTTATCAATGGAATCGGCTTTGATTTACTATTGTAACATGGGCCAATACAAAAATGACTAGTTTCGTCCAGCAATGAACAGCAAATTAGCTAAGTGTCAGCCTGGTTCAGTTGGTAACGCTCTCGCTTGAGTCAGAACATTGTGGGTTCGAGCGTCAGATCAGGACCTGACTTCACAGTCTATGCTGATACCTCGGTGCAGGGCTAAGAGAGTTGTATTGTCAAGAGATGCTGTCCTTTGGGTGGCTGAGACGTTAAACATACAAGTGAGCATTAAGATCCCATGGCACCATTTAAAAAGAGAAGGGAACATCTCCCGGTGCCCTGGCCAACAATCCCCACAAATAAAACTGATCATTCACTTCAAAGCTATTTGTGAGAAACTAAGACTTCTTGACGACATGAAAGGCACTACACCAAATGAAAGAATTGTATTATATCAGTTCACAACTGTATGAAGAAGCTGTAATCACTGACTGCTCTGCAATATAGTAAGCTCAACCTTGGTTTGGAAGCTGAAGGAAGTCATTTATGAGGGTAATAATTTCTCGAATGCAGGGCATCTCCTACCTTATTAAGCTGAAGCCAAGTTTTTCAATATCAGATCGGTCTTCTGCAACATTTTGTGCCAGAATACCTAATACAGGGATGAGAACAAGATGCTATTAGAAATAGGATAGTGTGCAACAGTATAAATCATTCTTACTAGTGGCAGAATCTGACTTCAATAAGTGTGTGTGTGTGGGGGGGATAGAGGGAGGAAGAGCAAGCTAAAAAATAAAACACCTTTTCAAAATGTCCCGATTTTTCAGGCTGGAAAGAGGCAGAACCTCCTGGACTCTTACGATAAGCCATTACTGAACCTTACCTCCATGTACAATGGGATGCAGAGTTTTCACTCGTCCTCCGAGCATCTCAGGAAACCCGGTAATCTCAGACACGTCCCTTAAGGTTTAAAAAGGAGAGATTAGTTTAACTGAATTGTTGGATCAATTTCTTCAACGGGCTTACAGGGAAAGAAGCCAGATAAAAGTCACCAGGCTCTTTACTGGTACATCCCCGTCAGTGTATAATCTGTCCATCTTAGCCTGGTAAGTTAAACGTGTTCAGAAAACAAAGTCCACAGTGGCACAATAACTACACGCACTGTGCTTCAGTGCAGCTCAATACAATTGTAGGACAGAATCTGAGGAGCTTATGAATGTTCTACCTCAGTGACCAAGTTTGAGTCAATTCTCCCCTATATTCCTGATTGTGATACTTCTCATTCCTCCCACAATTCTCTTCAGCCTTGCCTTTAGCCGGCAGATCGAGTCTCACTCACATGTCTATGGGGGGACATTGTGGAACATTACTAGGTCCTGTAGATCTAAGAGTGGAGATGGAGAGCATTGCTGGACTCTGGGCAGGGGGAGAAATTCAGTGAATTTGACAGAGGTGAGGGGCAGAGCAAAGGCATCAGCCTGGGCTCCTGTTCCCAAGTACAAGCCAGCAACCACCAGGTAGTGATAGGATGTGCCTTCCAACATAGTCTCAGCTTACTCAAAGAACAGCAACAGGGGGTGCATGTTGCCCAACAGGAGGCAAAAAAATTGGGGAAGGGGAGAAAAAATGAGCCCCGAACTAAAATGTGCGCATCTCTCATCTCATCTGTTAATCTCATCTCCAGCGCCTTTGGACATCCTTCTGATGTGAAAGGCACTATATCAATGTAATTCGTTCTTGTTAATGCACTTGAATGGTGACATTCCTGTGAAGATCAGTGCAGAAACAGAAAATAAAATTAAAACTCAAAATTCCAGGGCGCTGCTGATGACAGCTCATCGGCAGGATCTGGAAGGGCAGACCAGTCACTGGGAGCAGGGAGTCATCCCACTCAGCTGTTGTTAACAGTGAAAACCAAAGCCCTAAGGGGTATGGTGGTCTTAGCTGGACAAGCAGCAGGAAAGCTTGCTGGACAGCAATATCAAGCTTATGAGGTTTTAGCTGGTTAAACTCCAGCAGTACCCCCAACGCACACTCTGAGGCTCCCAAGCCTTAGCTCTCGCCAACCTGCGCTTAATACTTTCCGAAATTAGGTAAGCAGGATGTGTCCCTCCTTAAGCAAGGCGATGGGTTTCCTCATGTGTCAGACACCCGGCTGACCAAAAAAAAAACAAGCGCATTAAGAGAGAGGCATAACCAGACTACAGCTGGAGTTCTCCAACCTAATGACAGCACTTACCCGCCTGTCATTTACTAAGTTATACAATTTTTTAAAAGCTATTCTAATCCTGGCACTGGTTCAGAAACGATCAGGGTTATCCACATTTAAAGTTGTTTCAATACAACAACTGTGTGAGAAACAGAAACAGAGAAAAACAGATACAGAAAATAAAATTAAAACTCAAAAAGAGTTTAAAACTCCATTAGCGGTATGAACCGTTTGGCCATCTGGGATTCAGATCAAAAACCTTTCACTTTAAATACATTTTTCCTGCTCTCAGCTTTGTGAACAAAGCTCCTACTGTTTGCCATTGATGCAACGATCAGTTATGGATGGTTCAGTAGACATGCACAGAAAAGTGAATGCTCAAAAAATTATTGAAGACTTGAGTCATCTTCACTTAAATCCAACCGACCGGCTGACATCAATGGATGCACTTTATACTCTGATGGCTTGTACCACATATTCTGCAGCACGCTTCTACAGCTAGTCTCGTATGTTCACACGCATCCACTTTCAGATATGCCAAAACAGCAGAACTGGAGGCCACAGGTTCATGGTTGCACAGGACAATGTGCGACAGATACAGGGATTTATTTCTTTACACAGAGCGCAATTGATAGCCGTTACTGGGAAGAGTGGTTGAAGTCAAGACACTAGACTTATTCAAGGAAGAGTTCATTGCTATAATGGGAGGCTTGATATTCTGGAAAGATGAGATCAAATCAGGTGAAAGACCTTCTTTGTCTGAAGCTATCTCTGACAATCCAATCTAGACCGGCTATTATGTGCATCGGTCAACACACCTTCTGCATTTCTCACCTGACAGCAAGACCAGCATCCCGGAGAGCTTTGGCTGTTCCTCCAGAAGCCACCAAAGAAAGGCCAAACGAAGCCAAGCGTTTGGCAAAATCCACCAGTCCACTTTTGTCTGAGACACTGAGCAAAGCTACGGGACAAAGTTTAGGCAAAAAAGTTAAGTAACTGTAAAGATCGGAACTGAAGCCAATCAACAATTCAGCGCAGAAGCCTTGTGATACGGAGAAATTAAGATTATCAACTGAAATGTAATCGGAATATGGAGGGAGAGGAATAGCTGTGAACTCACGTTGCCCCCCACTTCCCATTACTCCACTCATGCTTATATTCCTTTTATGGCCTGAATGTTTCATTTTGCCATAGCATTACCTCGTGATGATCTTTTGTATGCAGCAAGTTTGACTCGCTGGCATACTTGCCTCTGGGTCAGAAGATTGCAACTCCAGGCCTTACCATGGGACTTGAGCTGACTGTCTAGGCTAATACTCTGCTTTAGAGATTCATCCTTTAATGTTCCAGCTTCGGAAATCTGTTGCGGTGAGTGACTGCCTTAAATTGTGTATTCAAGATTGAAAGATGTTTCAAGGACCTGAGTAACCCAACTTGTTAACAATTTCAGTTCCTGTCTGAGTGTGACTATCACTATGGATCTATAAATGTCGAACCATTCCTCACCACTGTCTATTTGAGGAGTCCGGATTCCAACCCAAACAGCTGCTAGCTGTTCAGAAGGTATCCTGTAGCACTGTGCTACGCTTTAAATTACATCCATAACGGTAATTACATCTCTTAACGGGTCTAAAATATCTGGGAGTAACTTTTGGCGTTCACTGCTTATATATACAGAGGAACTGTTTCTGTAGCTGTGGAGTTCTGTACCTTAGTGGTTAGAGCACTCGCCTCGCAAGCGAGTGGACCTGGGTTCGATTCCTGGGCAGGGCAAAATGTTGGGCAAGTTTCCTTACTCCACACGCCTGTGTTTACCTAGCAGTAAGTAGGAACCCCGTTGTTAGTCGATTGGTGGATCGCTTTTCCGGGGGTAATAATCCCTTCAAAAAAAAAATCTGGTCACTCAATCCACGACTGTTTGCGGGACACTGCTGTGCGCAATTAGCTGCCGCATTTGGCCACAAAATATACAGTCAATTCACTTCACAGTATGTTGTGAAGCGCTTTTAGACGTCTCGAAGACGTGATAAAACGCTGAATCAAATGCAAGGATTATTATTATTATTATTATTATTATTTCTTCTATCCACCCAGACGGCTCACATTATTTGGGATCTCCTGTATTACCTTATTTAGGTGTCAACTTGCACATCTGCCTTCGAGTCAGAAAATTGCAGGTTCAAGCCCATGTCGGGACATTGAACTCAGTCCAGGCTGACACGTCAATACAGTGCTGGGGTGGCACTATGTTATTGGAGTTGCCTTGCTTTGGATAAAAGGCTAAACCAAAGTCCCGTATGCCTGCTCTGGTGGGACATTAAAAATTCCATGGCACTATTCGAAAAGAGAGTTTCGTCCAAAATAAAGTTGGGTCATTCACCCCAGGACTAGATGTGTGACAGTGTTTTGCAAAGATTGATAGCCACTTTGACTTACAATATGCACAATCGCTATATTTTAACAGTATATCACACGAAGCTTCAAGAGCTCAGCGACACCACCCGCATGAAGGGTGTCATATAAATGTAAATTGTTGTTGCACTATACCGAACTAATGGAGAAAAGTAAAAAAAAATCCTCAACACAATGTCCAAGCTTTCAGCCACTTTCTCCCACTCAGGAATTCTCTCCTTTACTTGCTTTCTCCCTCCCCTCTCTTTCAAAGCCAGTCTAAAAAAAAACAACTCTCTTCGACTGGGTCTCCTGCCTGCTCACCCATCCCAATCTACCATCCCGCTCAGGCTCCCACGCTGCGAAGCACTTTGCCACGTTCTCTGACGTGAAAGGTGCTGTAGCGATGCGATTAGTCGTTGTGTAGTAGTGAGGTGGAACTACGCTTTCCCCTGCACACCCCAGGGGACAACCTTCATAGGAGTCGTTGAATTATACGGCACAGAAGGAGGCCATTGTCCGTGCCGAGAGCTATCCAAATCAATCCCACTCCCCCGCTCACTCCCCGTAGCCCTGCAAACTTGTCCTCCCCAACCGTGAACAGAAAATGCTGTAAAATAAAACTCCTAATTAACTTTGGGTGAATCCCAGAGACCTTAACTGCAGAGGACCAGGGCAATATTTACATCCTGGTGGTGGAAGTACCTGAGAGAACTGAGTTCAATTCCAGGC